TCAGGCATCACACCGGACAAACGCTGGTAAGCGTGCTCCCCTCTGGCGTCTTGCGAAGTTCTATAATGAAAACTTTATGGATATTGATTTATTTATGTTAAATAGAAACAATTTTAGAGGTAAAGTCATTGATGTGCTGAGGAGTTTGGATCTTGTATTTTAATATAGCTTTGTTTTGCATGTTGTTTTGCATGTTTCTTCAAATATGGATAATAAATATTGTTATGTGACCTCATCACAGCTTATGTGTCAAAAGGTAATCTGTGGAAAATGTTGTGGATATTACATTAATTTGGTTTTATGTACTTTACTGATGGATATTATATATAATGTAATATTGTTTTTTTTCCCAAATATAATAAAATAATAAAATAAAATAAAATTTTGACGACTAGTGAGCGCAAAATCCGGCACGGCACAGCAGTGGGGCACTGCTGTCCCCTGTCAAATCGACTGCCGTGCCATCCTTTACTGGAACCATTTCGCCGCATTTTGAGACGGTCAAGTCACAGAACATTAACTATGATAATAAATAAATCGTTATTCATCATTACTTTCCAGGGATCAAGTGGCTCCATCGACACTTGGCTAGTTTTTTACAGAATGTTTTTGGTTAGACACTCTTAACATATTTTATTTAAAACTGTATGTATTATCTCACTGATTTGACCTTGCCTTGCCTTGGTGGCCTAGTGATCACTATTTAGCCTGATTGTTGACCAGAACAGCCTTAGATCCGGCAAAAATAATCAGTAATAATACAGTGTGGTAACAAGATCGATACATGTAGTAACACTATTTACCGCATGACACTAATTAATTAAAAGAATTACTGCATTTATTTTATTGGAACACCCGTGCTTAACCTGTCGGGAAATAACAGATATGGTGTTCAACATGTTATTATCCTGTTGTTCCAAATATAGAACTGATGGCTAATTAAATTAATACTACTAATATAAGGCAAACAACATAAATTGTATACCTAAGTATTACCTTGACTTTGTAGGAAAATATCTTGTTTGTGTCCATTTCGAAAACAAGTTTAATTTTAACGTTGTAGTAGGTAAATTAATGTTGTTTATAAAGTAGAGCATAATAATTATATAATAATATATTATTTTTGACAGTTAAAAATAGTATTTATTATTTGCTATATTATTTAGAAGACATTAGATATTCTAGAAACTGATTTCTCAGTTCAGAGTGCCTATGCAATATTAAAGCGGCCATTGTTACCATAATTTTATGATTTTCTATATTTCATGCAACACGTGCCAAAAATTAAAACAACACTCTAGAAAGTTTGAAAAACATATTCGTGTATTCATGAAAGTTAAGAAGATTAAAGGTGTCTTCGTAGGTCAATTGACATCGTTAATATTTCTTACTTTTCAAATAAAATATCTAATTTATCAGCACAAGACGTTGCTAAACATGTCAGCTCAAACGTTCTACTGAGACACTTTTTCGAAAGGAGAATGGCAGGTTTGTATGGAAGTTTTGTACCGCTATAAAATTTTGTATTAGTCATTGTTTTAACCAAGTGAATAGTCTGAACGATAGATATTTTTATTATGAAGTTTAGAAAAAAATTACATATTTTTAGAACTTGGGGTTCAAAAGTTATTTCACTTTGAAAATGTGCAAAAGGTACGTTAAGGTGGTACCACACTTGACATTGCGTAGTCGCTTCATTTGTCCAAATATTTGTAGACTACGTACAAATGACGTTCAAATAGTATCTCTATATGTAATGGCGTGCAAATATATAGCAAACAAAGAAGAATAAATTCTCCAAACATGTTCTTTTTTGGTCGAACACAACAAATACGCAACGTCAAGTGTAGAGCCACCGTAAGCAAAATATCTATTACAAATGACAGATGACAGTTAACTGAAAAATGTCAATGTGCTCTCATGTGGTTGTTTTTTATTTACAAAAAACTAAAATCTAAAAATACTGCTTGCTACTCAAGTGACTATTACACTTTGTATTATTAGGAATGATCCTGTTAATTCAGCAAGCATGATGTACCTATAGAGTTTTAAAGAGTATGCCTCACAATCTTTTTAATTTCTTAGGTACCTACGAAAATGCAAATTCATAATGTCGCTTACATTGTCATTGGGTAGAAGGCCTACATTTAGCAGTGGAAGTCTTGTGGCGGATATGATAAAACTAATAGTGTCTCACTTCACCTTGAATCTTGCAGGTAGATAGTCTCAAAGGTCTCAAGTTAATTCGATTTAAACTTAGCTTAGCTTTTTGAGAAAGTATTTCTTCTGAAAGCTGGTTGCTTAGCACGCGTGTAAGGATTAATTTCTAATAAGTAAGTCAAATTAGTAGAATCATCAACATTTTCATCATTAAGTCTATTAGTGGCCACTGCTGAACGAAGCCTCTTCTCGCATGGAGGTTTGAGCAATAAATCACCATACTAGCTCAATGTGGGTTGGTAATTCAAACTTATAATAAGAAATTATAAGCCCATGTTTCCTCACAATGTTTTCCTTAACCATTCGTCAGCGGTGTCTTTGTACTTTCTTAGATTATTGAATATACGAATAACTCGGAAAAAAGACACATTGGTACTTTGCCATTGGTAGGTTTCGAACCCGCACTCTCATGCATGAGAAGCAGGCTTCTTAAACCTCTGGGCCACCACATTACAACTAAAGAAAATGTAAAATGAAAATGAACATTTTTGGTATAAAACTAAAGCTATCTAAATTAAATATGGTATTTATTTTATAGATTGATTCTTAAAATCACTTTTATCAAGATGGAATATATAGTTACTTACTAGGTTAAAATAAAACAAATGTATTATTTTGAAATACTTTTATTTCATTGTATTCAGGTTGTTTCTAGGACTACTTCATCTAAAAAGAGAACAGGCAGTGTCATAGGTACAGCAGACATCAATTGCTGATATCTGTAAACAAGTAAGATAACTGTAAATAAAGTAAACAAAAGTACATTTTTTTCCTTTAGTTTTATATGTTATAATAATATGTCTGATTCCCTATCTTAAAATGGAAAAGATAAAAAAAATATTTGATTACATTACTTGATTTTATAACATTTATTATAGTTATTCGTATAACACAGATCTTAGGAGCTCGAACAGCATGCTAATTAATAAATTATAATTATAACATGAGTATAAACCTATTAGAAACCGCTTATATACTCCACATAGATACATAATTATGTAGGTACATTATAATGAGAATGCATACCTGTTGAAGCTTTGAGAGCCGAACAACATCTTCCGGCCTCATCTGTTCTACAAATGGCAATGTTAAAGTGAGGCTTAGTCCATGTTTACATAACACATTATTTCCTGATAGTGAACACTGTGAGGTGGTATGTCAGGTTGTGGTTTTATAGTTTGGGCTCTTGTACGGTCTCTCAGTCAGTATGGAACATGATCTTCATCATGCTAAGCTAAGCTAAAATAAGTAATATTATTAGAATATGATATTGACTTTAGATTACACTGTATATAGATAATAGTATGGTTAAATTGTGCTTTATTACCTCTTGTGGCTGAATCCAATCAAATACTATATGAGCCAGTGTTTACTCCTGTTTGTTGGCGCCTTCAATTAAAACCCTGCGTCACCTTATCATTGCAATGAATCACCCATATACGACACAAACATGCCGGTGACCAATTTGTTTGCTGGACATATGTACTTCCACCAACATCCTGATACATTGGTAATTGCCAGCAAGCATTGCAAATATGGTCGGTAGGAGAGATCTAGAATAAAAAGAATAAAATGATACATTATGGGTAGATAACACTATGCGTCTTCTTTTATTCAGGCAACATGGTGACTTTCGATATGTTATGGGTAAACTAGGTACTTACATCTCTAGGATAAGTCCACAATGGGATATTGTTGACCACGTCTAATCTTTACTCTCATTTCCTAGAGCATGCCGTCTCATGTGCGACAAACTCTGAATGCAATTAATGCACTGTAAATTCATCATCGCGACAAATTACAACACACTATGCACAAAATAATGTAAATAAGTGTCTTTTCGCAATTGTCACAAAATGATGCCAATAACACCAATTTGGGCTACGGAGGAACGGTTGCCAAACTCAACGTATCATCAGATGAATAAAATAACTTCAAATTCAACAAACACATCATAACATCGCATTTGAAACAAACAGCAATGCGCCAGTATTGACATTTGACAAATTAATTGTCAATGTCATCAAGACAAATGCCAGTTCAACATTGCCATATTCAAGTTTGTTAAAATATTAATATTATCATTAATAATCCATGTAGACGTAGATTTAGATTGGATGTAGATTTTTATATTTACTTATAAAAATGTTTGAAATGGAAAGGAAAATATTTCATTGATAGATATTAAAATAAATGAGTTTATGAAATAGCGAAATTCAATATGCTCTGATTTCATTTTTACGCATGGCAACTTTGTAAACGTCAATCGCGGTTCGTTTTACGTTTAGTGGATTGATTTTTATCATTATTGAATATCAGTTTTTCTAGGGTTTCCCAAGTTCTAAAAATCTATTAAATATGCTAACATAACGTACTTAGGAGGTTCTTTAATGATCCAATTTTTTAATGACAAATCTTTTTTTAGCGAAGCGGTACAAAATCTGCCGTTCTCCTTTACAGGAACACATGGTATTCATAAATATGCTATGTACAGCAATTACAGTCATTTATTTATTACTTAAATAAAAATAATATTCTAACATTATATTTATTATATTAATGTCTTAAATTATAACATCACTATACCCTTCTATTTATCACAAAGTATTGCGAGTAGTTGCGTGGCGTGGAGTAGTATATCATACACCTGAACACCAGATTTTTCTTCAGCCACAGGTTACAGCGTCGATCTATCGGCAGCTGCATGTCCACTACTCAGTATTGCGCAACAACTTTTCGTAACAATTAACATAATTAAGAGCTACACGTTCCTACGACAACTACCTAAGGCTGTTGATGTATTTCATGAGGTTAAACACTACTATGACGCCCATGATGTCCGTGTAGCCTTCATGGCTGGTACTCGGAGAGGCATTACAAAGGTTGTTGCGGCAATAGCAGTATCTGTAAATAAATAAACGTTTATTAACATAAATCTGTGATGAAGTGGGAGGTGCGGCCGTTTATGGACTATGACATCATTCTGATCATCTTCGTGCAATTTTAATGTATGGCTATTGAATTTAAAGTAGAATTGGCCTATAAAACCAATACTTAATGTCTATGTAAAATATTAGTAAAGAATATAATTTAATGAAATAATGCATTTAAATTCGGAGAGAAAATGTCGAAAAGTGACTAATAATGGCGTGACGTTATTACTGCGCACTATGTCGATAAAAATACTGCCGTTAGTTTTAATCTCTTTAAATTTAAATAAGTATTTAACAGTAGTAAATTTTACATCTACACATATATCGCGTTTTCAGTATTTTCAAATATAATTCGCTTAAAAATACAGAAAACAGTGGTAAAAGTGGATTAGTTACCTTGTAGGTGTACTCCTTTGTCCCTTGTCGTCTTCATTGATGCAGCCTTCTTTGTAAGGTTCCAATATCTCCATCTTCGGCGACCATCTACCATTCTTGTAATCCTGATACTCGTGCTTCTGAGGTGCGCAGTCACGAAGGACGCCGTTTATCCTCACTGAAAATTATTAAACTACAATGAATTAAAATTATTTTTGTAATGAATTACCTACTTTTATTTAAAGAACTGACATCAGCCGATAATTTTGTTGCAGCTGTTCAAATTGTCAATAGCTTGCATTGCATTGTTGATTTGTTGGTGTGGACACAGACTCTTCATGTAATAATGGATCTATTGTATACTCGTAATAACTATCTGCGGAACTGGTTACTTCAGTATTGCTATTAATTCGATATTACGAAGTTTATACCTTCGCAATTTCTTTGTCCGTATAATCGGTCTACTTAAGTCAAATGCTTTAAAAAGTAATTAAAACACACGACACGTTTGGAGTCATGGTCTGTGGTTTTTAATCGTTCACGCCATTTTATTATGATTTGCACTGATTAGTTTAACTCCAAAAAACCTTGAAAGTGAAACTTTTACACTTAAATATTATATGAGTTGCATAAGTTGAGTTGCATTAATATAATTATGTACATGTTTTGGAATCACTTTGGGCGTTCTTTGGAAAATAATATAATGTCTCGCTTAAATTCGATGCAACTCGTGTTTACATAGACGGGTTATTTTTGCACGTAAGCGAATTGTCTTCTTCTCATTGCCTTGAACTGTTTGTCGCTAAGCACAATAATATTTGACCACCTTGACCGCATGGCATTCTTTATCATCAATTGAATCCTCGCTGTGCGTTAACAGAGGACCGCTAATGATGTATGCACGTACGATAGCGTACGTCAGTCATTTGAGTTCTCATGACTGCGGCATTTTTATCTTCAATGTCTTTAGATTCTATTATTTACTTTACTAATATTGTAACATGCTCAATTGTACATCTCTCTTCTACATGCTTATCTAAATGTAAATATCTTGTACTTCTTTAAACAAAGTGTAACTTTTGTAATAATTGTTAAAATACATACCTCCATTCTGTATGTCAAGATGGAATTCCTGCTTCATGCACATGGTAGAGTAGGGGCATTCCACTATGAACTTATCAGAGTGGTCGAAGTGCACGCAGAGCCTCTTCGTAGTGTTATAATACTGCCCCGGCGGGGGGTTGATGAGGCAATGGTAGCACTGTAACGATGATACTCCTGGAATCAACAACAATGCAACATCTTTAACAATGGACATGAAAGAATGTCACATGTGGTACTTAATCTTACTTGATACTTAATATCATCTCAGATTTTTAAATATCGCATTCCACTTAATTTTTATGTCTCTGACATTACGACAGACAGTCTGTATAGGATACCTTTATAAGTGACCTTTACACATCGCGTGTCCACTAAGCATCTATATCCTGTTTTGTCAAGAACTCGGACTATACTCGTAACACACGCAGCTCCCACTAATACTAGTTCTTACGTACAGAATATCTCTATGAAGCCAGTAATTTATATTTTCCTCGTTTTCTTCACACCTACCAGGTAATCTGTGTTTTATACAGACTCCTTGGAAATACACTGTAGCTATTTCCAGTGGACATTGTTTACTGGAATGTTTATTTGATAAAACCTCAAGGCTCACCCGCCTACTGCAGTCTGCAATTATGGATGGTCACCTAGGCTGGCTTATTATTGCAAGCATTGCAAAGCGTTTGTTAACACTTAATTATCTGGTATTATTAGCGACGTATAGTGACTAGTTTATTCGATTGATATCCCATTGGTGATGTTTTCCCATTATAGAATGTTTGGCGTTTGGTTACGAGGATAAACCGTGTAATGATTGATTTGTGACCGTCTGATTTGTTTGTCGCAAACATCGTTAAAACGCTCGCTTTATTTTGACGGTAATTGTATGCTTTGTTTGCAGAGTCAATAACTTAATTATTGTACAGAGAGTGCGCCCCAAAACACGTGTTATTCCTTATGAAAGGAAACATTACAAGTACTCGCTAATTTGTTACCGCCACTAAACAAGTGTTTAGAAAACATCGATTGCTATTGCAATAATGTGCTAAATAAGCTTGGCACAGTGTGCACATTGTGTCGTCTGCTTAGGAATGCACTTATGCAGGGCATTCGGCAAATATGTTGCGTCACCGCGGGTGGTTCGCGCCCGTTCTAGAGGTCGTGACTCATCTTCATACGTTTCTCGCTATATTTTATTAACTTAACTTCCTATACCTCTACTTGTCCATACGAGTATATACGGTATACCTAACTTTATCAGAATTCTATCCACTATTAGTTTTTCCTTAATCTAATACCGACATTCTTCTGTATTCATTTCTTTTCTATCAAACATTAAAAGAGCTTTATGTATTTTTTAATAAAATAAGCTACATAGTTCTTTGTCAAATTAATGTAGCAATTTATTCTGAAGTCTCTATTATAACATTCATACAGACAGATGACAAAATAATTACACAAACTTAATTATGTCAAAATACCAGCGTGTCTCAATCAGGTTAGTAAATAATAGCAAGAGTTCAGACACTTGTTGGACGGAACATGCTAGTCACGATGTTAATGGTGATCTGTTCAGGTCATTGACATGAACATATGCATGGATTTGGAAATTACGCCTGAAATTATAGCTTGCTAGAATTCGCATCAAACTCGTCGTCATTGGGTTCAAGCTGTAGACTCGTTTCCATAATTAGGTACATAAAAACATAAAAAAATTGGTATATATTATATAATTATACATAGTTTTTGATTTAAGTGGTATACGTGTCACTTATTTGTAATTTGTACTTAGAATGACTCACAGAGTTTTGTTATGTCAACTCCCACGCAGGTTCGCATTACGCATGCGCCGACGGTGAACGCTCGTTCTTGGAATCGAACCTTGCTTGGATTGGCCCGTGGCCGTCAACTGTCTAACGACTTTGTGTTTTCAAAAGCTTAGTTGATATTTCCATAATGTTATGACTTGTCATAGTCTTATCGCATTTTTTTTTGTGATTTTAGAAATAAAATACATGATTATAAAATCTTCTAACTGTAATTCCAAAATTGGTATGCATTAGCCAGTTCCGAGGCAATGAACTCCAGATTTGTAATAATAATTTTATACATAATTTAAAACACAAACATTCATACGATCTTAAATTATGTAAATTGATATTACAACTTAGGGTAAATTGGTTTTACATATTCGATAATGGGGCTATACTTATTATTATTTGTCTCATGTCTGTATGAACATTATTAGGACTCGAAAAAAGTTTAGCTATTATATAAGTTACTTACTAAATGGGATGTTAAAATTAATGTATTTCATGGCTACATTCATAGATGGTATTCTAGTATGCTTAACATCTAGTAGGCTTAATATTTAATTATGGTCACAACGATGAGAGCAACGTTGATTTTTATTTTTATAGTTATTGTTGCTTGTCATAGTGTAAGTGTGGACTATTACATAGGAAATAAACAAAGTCATGAAAATTATAAGAGCCATGTTATTTACAAACATAATAATTCAAATTCATTACAAACGTCAAAAATTGGAGATGGTAATAAAGAACCTAACATTTCTATAGAGAACACTTATACTACACCAGAAATTGAAGATAGTAAACAAGATTATGAAGAATATGATGAACTCACCGACATAGAAGAGCAAATGTCACAAAAAACTCTTAAAATAAAAATTTCAACAGACCAAAATGATTTGGACTCCGATCCAGAACAGATCGAAATCGGTCACGATCCTGCTGTATTGCGACTAGGAAATGACCCCGAACCAGGGCTTGACACTAAAATAAATAAGACTATGTATGACATTTTTGAAGAATATGGACACCAAAGTGACAGTGAAGAATCGGGAACAGCACATCCAGTATTACGTGATCAAGATAAAACTACTGAAAATCAGTTAAATACGGAGTCGGATGCTATTCTAATAAAAAATGCCACTGAAGAAGAGAGTGATACAGAAAAACTTCCAATAGACTTTTATAACTTAATACCAGCGTCAAGTGTATTAAACGACACAGATTCAAAATTTCGCACTTTCAATATTCATGAAAACGTTTGGTACGTCCCTGAAAATTGTCCCTGTTGGGAACTACCTATATTGTACGCTGAAACTGGGCAAATTATGTCAAATACAGATGTTTTTCTTATGTATCAAGGGATTCTAAAGAATGTTGAAGAAAAGTTAGAAAAGAGTAAAACGCCATCTAAACCACTTTATGTACCTGTGACTCAAAATATGAATAAGTGGTGTGCTGTGGGTCCTTGTTACGGCGATCACACGCTCTGTCTCTTTTCGGAAAGAATTAATTCCAAGTTATGCAGAAATGGTTATGTAGTTTCTACTCCTACAATGATTGAGCAGATAGGTTTAGTAAATACTGTAAATTCAATGAGAAATCGTGTCGCTAATGGAGAAACAGATCAATATAAACATTTACCGAAAGCAGCTGACATGAATCAGATAATATATGACCTCGATTTAGAAAGTATGGCTGTAAATTGGCTTCATCAGTGCTTGCCAGGTCCTGCTGCATGCTCTGCTCTCGATGAAAACTACGTTACACAGCTGGAATGCACTAAACACGCAAGGCACTGCTGTATTGACTCATTTAAATCCGAAATGGCATCAAAGTGGTATGCTTTATTCGATATTATAATTTTAATAGTTATATACACAAAGAACGGTGAATTAACATTTGAAAATGTTTATTACAGCATACCTCAATATGAATGTTACGTGGACGCTATTATTGGATGCATTCATTTATGGTTCTCAAAAGCTGGTAGCGCTCTTACAACGACAGATGTGCAATGCGGCCATATAACACCAGCTACTTATAATACAGCTCAGTTGTTGTGGGCACAAACAAATAAAATAGGCTGTGCCTATGGGAAAAAAATAGATGGTGATGTACGAGTCGTGTGTAATTTTGCTCCTGGTGCCCCATATTTTATTGACACGAAATATTACTGTGGTTTCATTTCTCAACCTAAAGTTAAGGAAGATTTTGCGAAAGAAGGCATAAATTTAACTTCTCCAAATTTTTTGTCAGCGCTCGGTATATCGTTAAATCCAGTGGTCAAGTGTGACTATAAGAGACAGGAATTTACTAGCCACCAAACTAATTACTCATTGAGGTTTTCTAATATTGATATCCTTGGTAAGATTTATAAGAGGAAATGGATTCGTTCGAAATATAACGAAACCGTGAACGACACTATTGGTTTAGTTGCTCGTCTGGTGACGAAGTACTCGTTTGTTGGAGATGATAGCTCGCAATGTGACTCGGGTGTAGCTATCTATGAGAGCGGGGAGCCTGGCTCTAAGTGCGTCGAGCGAGGCAGGCGCTTCCACGCTTTGTGTTATGATTTCCGCGATCCTACTCCCGGATACAGGCTAGTGGCTGTCGTGGCTCCAATTGCATTATTTTCTCTTATTCTTTATGACTTATTTAGTGGTGTAGTGCGTCAGACCAACTATTAACATAATATCATCGCTGTTTTGTCTAATTTATAGAGTCCAAAATTTATCTCAAAAGTCAACATTTATTATTTTTTATAGACATATAGACTTTCTTATTATTGTTACCGAATTCAGAGTGAGAATGTGCACAATTATATACCTACTAAGTTATATTGTAGTAGTTTTTATTTAGACAATAATATCATGTTCTTAATAAATCGTTATAAATTCATGTCGTGTAGAAGTTAATCCGTTTAAATGTAAATTAAACTGTTTCTCTCGATGACTCATTGCACTTTATAATAAAACCTTTGCTTTACAATATTATAGAGGTACATAGGTTTTTTGTTGAAAAGAGTACCTACTAATATTTTTATTCTAGGAATTGGGAAGTTTCAATTTTACAAATGTTTTGTTTTATTCTCTTTGATTATATTGCAGTTACAGCTCATTAATTTGTTATAACACTAATAACCACTAACTATCAGAACATTGCATAGGTTCAATGACCTGCGGTCGTTCATGCCAAGCAGTCTGATGCGTTTATCTTTGCGTACATCAATTGAACTGCAGTTCAAGGCGAACCAATTTTCACATATTGATTTAGAACCAGTGTCATCTCTAGTGCGAAAACAAATAAAAAATATGAGAATATTATGTAGGTACTACAAATGTAATTTATTTTATTTCCTATTTTTCTTCACTACGTTATCATTATTAAGAGTGGGCAGACCATCTGAATAAGGTCGCAATTGCAAGGAGCCGATGGATGCAGGTCATTTCCGACCAGCTATTATCTAGAACTCTTGGGCTCTCCCAATCTATATTCATACGTGGACTTCTTGTGGCTGATAATATGATGACGGACAGATGGATGCAAAATATAAGACTTTTTCCGCGTTTATTTTAAAGCAGTTCGTTAATGTCACGTCGTTTCTTTTCGCAGTTGACCTTTATGGAGATATCAATTGGTTAAAGTGGCCTAAATAAATAGGAAAAAAAGTTCAGCTGTTGTGATTACAATTCCGTAACCTCTGACTTAAGATTCACTGGAGCATTTCACTTATCGCGTAACTATGCAGCAGGGAACTCACGCATATCCGTGAATATCCGAATATTTTTTTTATTTTCTCTGTGTTCCAGCAGATATTCTATAGAACCTGTGAATAGCATTCCGACCATATTAAGTTGGGTAGCAAATATTTTGCTTTATAATCATTTTCAAAACAACCGCGGGAAAGCGTTGACGATGACGAAAGAAAGTCCAGATATTCAATCAAAAGCATAATTAGAACAGGACCACCTGATTACTTCTTGATATGATAAAATCATGTAACCTTAAAAATCACCAATTATATTCAACTCAAAAATTTACCAATGAACCTATTCCGATAAACACTTGACCGTTTAATTGATTCAATAGACCCAGATAAATACGTAATAGATTACTCTACTACATGAGACATTCATTTGAATAATTGAAAGACAACGAGGTTAGTATAATTATTGCGTTAATGAAATTCTATCAGAAGATTTCGTTGCATAACTTTTCATGCCGATTATGTAAAACATGTAATAGTGAGAAGAGAGGATTAATATATTACGAACCTGTTGTTATCAAGGACAGGATAGTGTATACCACGGCTAACATGCAATACTCCATACTCGAACTTTTCGCAGCTCTACTACAGCGGTTTGTTTTCAAATCGCACGTGCATCCGAATGCGTTATTCCGCCTCTGTGCTCCTTTTCGACATCACCCGCGCTCCCATTAAAAGATCTGAAAAGAGTAAAAGTTATTTTAATAGTTTGTCTGCAAAATAAATCGATTAGCTTAAATCTGAATAATTAATCTTTTTTACTTTGGATTTCTCAACACATCGTGATCTTCAACATCATATCGATTATTCCGAAAGTAATTTACCATTATCACTTTTTTTTTTTTTATTTTTATTTATTTATTTATTTATTTTTCTCCCAATTGTTACATAATATATAAAATCATAACAGGTAAAAAACATATTTTAGGTAAGTACATAACAAAACAACAAACTTAACAAATGTTCATTAATTCATCAATTAATGGGAGACAGGAGCCCGTACTAAGCAGAGCCTGTGTTACGGGTCTCCTGGCCTTCTAACCTCTGAGTTTGTCTTTTTTATTAGTTTACCAGTTTCTGTTGATATAAGTTTTAATATTCAATGAAAAATAAATTACATTAGGAGTTTACGAAAAATAAAAAAAAATAAAAATATTAAAAAAGAAGAAATTGGATAAAAAACAGAAATGCCCTAAGTACATATTACCATAACCAAGTCTACCTATGGTTGTTGTAAACATGTTTGAATGTGTGTGTGTGTGTGTGTGTGTGAGGTGTGTGTGTGTGTGTGTGTGTGTGTGTGTGTGTGTATGTGTGTATGTGTGTGTGCGTGCATATGCGTGTGTGATTATGTATGTGTGTGTGTGTGTGTTTTGTGTTTACGCGGTTCGTGCCTGCGTGTGTATGAACTATATACCTTTGTGAGTGGTTATTAATTTTTCAGTGTCTTCGTAAGTAAGCGTTTGAAGCCATTTTGTTACTTTTTCTTTACACATTTTTCTTGTGACTGGGTACAGGGACAGTTTTTTGTTTATGATGTTATACAGATGAGGGCCAAATGATGAAATATTAGAATAGTACCTATATTTTATTTAATTATAACAGCCAGATTAATGTACCTGGCAGCACGGTTAGTAGGCACTGTTACTGTTGTAGTGGATTGGCGCACTTGTGTTGTGTTCAAGGTCCTGACACGCTTGCTTAAGGCCTTTCCCCAGTCTGGCTTTCAACCAAAAACTAGATACAACAATTATGTAAGCTCAACATAATAATATTTACTATTCGCTGTAGTCCTAAATTATACTCCAATCTCGTTTGTACACGCAAAGAAAATCGTTTTCCGCGCTGCATTTTTTCGATTTGCTCAACAAATTAAAGCAAGTTGGCTGAAACGTAGGAATTTAATTTGAAATGTTACCGACGCTTAACTTAATAGGTACCTTCATAGGTAATAAATGCGTTTAGTTTTCTCAAGTACAAAGAAGATTGTATGCTATTTGTTAGATTATTATAAACTAGCTTCTGCCCGCGACTTCGTACGCGCAATCCCGATATTTCCCGTTCCCGTTCTTGGTAAAAAGTATCCTATGTCCGTCTCCTGGTTCTAAGCTACCTCCCCACCAATTTTCATCCAAATCGATTTAGCCATTTTTGAGTTATAAATAGTGTAACTAACACGACTTTCTTTTATATATATAGATTAGACTACGTCTAAAAACAAAAATGTTCTTTTTTTCTTTCTGTAGTGTCTTTTGTTTGTGTGTAAATAAAGTTAGTCTATGCAATGATATATTTTTTACTATAGGTAATGTGATGTTTATGAACCGGTACCAATAACATTTTTGCAATGAACAACTTGTACAAATTAAGATACCAATATTAAAATAATCTGCTTAGCTATATATTGAAATGATACATGAACTTACATAATTAGAGTAGTACAGTTAGGTACATTTAAACGAGTTCACTTGGTGGTAAAGAAACTCAGTACGAAAGACCAAAGAGTTACAACACGCGGCGGACTATTGCGTGTGGGCACTGGCTCAGTATTCAACCATGAAATAGATTATTTGAGCATTTGTCTCACCATTGCAGAATGTTTAACACAATTGTCCAACGATTCATTGTTGTCAAGTATTGATTCTACTTACAATGGTATTTGAAACTAATGTGTTCCATCGTGTGGATCATGATGATCTCAAATAAGTAAAGAATAAAAGAGGAAATAGTGTTGCCAACTTGTTATTTTTATTCGATCAGTATTCAAAGTTAAACCTTTTTCAACAGACCGGATTTCTGACTTGTGCTCGATGTTTGTAGTACTAAGTACCCAGGTACTTACTTAATTTAACAGTGTTGCAAAAGGTACTTAATAGGTCCCTAAATTGACGTGTTGATACAATTATGCTAATATTATTTACCAGTCTTACTTTCAGTACTAAATATAAGCGGACATTTTGTCGGCACAGATATATCATGGTAAGCACTTTTCATTTTACAAGGTGATCAAGAATGTCAAGTTGTTGTCTCGTATGCCTACCACTCAATGAAGTTTAAAAATTGTTGTGACGGTTTGGTATATCAGACAAGTTTTCATTTTGTTCTTAATTAAATGTAAATAATTCTACAAGGATTTTATTTATACGAATCATCGATACTATTTATTTCTTGCTGGAGACACATTCAATAAAATGTCTTGTTTAATTTGTTAATAAGAATACTGTTACTTAAATACTTGACATTTATCTTTTTATTTCGAAAATATTACTCTCTATAAATTATTTTATTTTGGCTGTACTTTTAAATCAGCAAAGTAGAGCAAGGTCGATAAAATTGTACCAAAAATCTTAATTTTATTAATTAAACAATTTGTACGTAATACATGTAACTGCTTAAAGTTGTAATTGTAATTTTGGCAACAGTTTTTTCTTGCAAGCTTTATTGTTTTTTAAACCAGTTTGGACAGCGTAACTTTCAACACTGCACCGGCACCGGTGTGGCTGTTACATCATTTTATTTTTATTATAGCAGGTTAAGGACGTTAAAAATGTGTTCCAAATTCACGAACTCAACAAAATGTTGTTCTATGTAACCATCCTATTATAGCCGCTTAGAAATCTCAACAATACTTTTGCATTGACAACTATGAATAGCTTCAACAAATGAACTTGCTCCAGTAATGACACGTACATTGCATTTTTACATAATTTACGTAAATTATTGCGTATCATGATTCCTTGAACACTGATTGTTTGAAATTGATGAGTTGCACAACAAATTCCACATAGTTGTTAAATTATATTTGGCAGGTTCGAGTCTAATCGTATGACTAAATAGTGTTGAAATAAAATTGGCATATATGCACATTTTGCAGAATCACGTAGTCCACAAAAATCGAATAGCAATGAAAATGTTTGTGTAGAAGGTCGGAATGTTAAGCAATTGATTCCATTGTACCGATGCATATAATAGTTAGGAATCGGTTATTGTTGTTTTACCTTGAACTGACATACCTAATGCGTCCTGTCATTATTTTAGTGACTTAAGTAAATCATAAAAAATAAACACATTGTTTAGAATAAGACGCATGCTATTGTTACAAAAGCGAGAAATAAGTTAAACCAAATTATCAAATTGTATAGATATCGTGATTGTCCATTTTTAAAACTCTGATAACTCGATAGACTGGACACACGATAGTACCTAAGCGCGGATCGAATCAATGTTGTGTAACTTAATATTTATGCAAATCCAACTAATGAGGTAAATCAATTAATATACCTACTCATTGCATTGCATACAAATTAAACATATTTCACATAATACGTGCTATAATCTTCGTGATTAAACGCCGAGTATAAACTAACAGTTACCGCTGTACTCAGATCATTTAATGATTACTTAACCCAGCCCTTAGCCATTGTTTTTGAAAAAAATATAGTAGCTAATATAATATCTCCATATATCATATAAAATACAGTTCGCCTCAAACTCAAGTCAGTAACAAACTAGATGTGGACGTTTAGTATATTTTATCGTTAGTGGAAAACAAGAAGAAAATTGCGTGCTAATGAAGATGCCTATTTTCAGCATTCAGTCATGTTACAGATCCCAAGCGTTGTTCTGTTCATAACAAGCTATGATTAGATACAAGTATGTAACACGGGTAATAATTATCCAGAATGCATTACCCTGCGAGACCCTGTTCTAGTATTGCTACTGTACAAAGTAACACTGAATAATAATATTTTATTGTAGAATGTATTAGTATTAAATCAATTACTGACCTCAGAACGCTCGTTATATTAAAAGGAAATTCCTGCTTCTATGTCCCGTCTCACTATTTCCCCAGGAAACGATTCAGACTGATTGTGGCGAATATCGTAAGAGAATTGCTAGGTCATTCGTTCTGATACCAACCGATGGCTTTTTTAATTATGCTGCATGTATGAACAAATTAATCTTCGTAGTTATGAAGGTAAACCCGTATATTACAAATCTATCGCTAAAAAATCCGATTAAAAATGTTTGATAACGCAATAACAATCTTGCTTATCGAATCACTCGTTTAAAACGTATTGGAGGGAATCAAACTGGATATCAGAGTTATTTGCATAATACTGGCAGACTCGAGAATAACTTAAGCTGACGATATTTTGATTATTCCGATTAGGCACGGCCAACGACAGTGTCAAGGACTAAACAAACAGAATCGGTTACCATGTTATGGAAAAAATATTTAGCAAATATTACATCACCGTTTATTGTAATTATACAGACATTCTAGATTACGACAGCACACCCAGGCAAATTTGTGTTAATGGCAACGTAAGCATTGATAGTAATAAACACATAAATATTAAAATATAATATGGTAATAAACATAATGTACAAACGACTAAAATATTGTATGTGAGCAATTACATTTTATGAACCCAATAATAACATTAGTTCCTTTAAGGACCCAACTACGTTTGATTATAATCACAAACATTAAACGTGTCCTTGTCGCGGAGAACCTAACGGGTAACCGGGGCTCCGGCTCGACGTGCAGGAGAAGGAACGGGGTGGTTTTTAGTCAGTAAGAGTCTGACACTCCCTTCCGCCTCACCCAGGCGGGAGCAGTCATTCGATGATTTTCCCACATTAAAAAAAAAAAAACGTGTCCTTACTTCATTCGCTTTAATACTTCAAGTTTCTCAGATTCAGACTTGAAACAATGTTGAATCACAAAGAAACTCGTTCGTTAAGTAATATTGTTTTAAGCAACGAAACTGGTATAACAATAACACTACAACTTGGAGACATATCGACACATTTTGACAAGCTTGTCTATAAATATAGCTATTTTAATGTTGATGTAAATAACTAAATATTACGAGTTAATTATAAATATGTATACTGACAACGCCGCGACCGCGCACGCTGCTCATGAGGAAGAGCCCCTCTGTGACTCGAAACTAGTAGAGCTTTTTTGAGTATATTTAGGTGAGTACCTGGTTTTCATTTTTAGTTAATTCAGTATGTCTTACGATAGTTATTGTAAATAAATTAAATCAGAACCTAGTACTTGTTAACAATAAACCTATTCGAATAAATACCAATTAACAAGGCTATGTAAGTTCATGGAAATTCAGTTCAATGTCGCTTCACGATGACGTGTCTTTACAAAATAAATAGAATTTAATGAAGTAGTTAGTTATAACTGATAAAGGTGCATGGTTAACCCAAGAAGCATGCAGTAAATAGTAACATTTATCTGTAGGTACATGTATCAATTAAAACCATTATGTCTAATTCGTATTTTATAAGTCCCAAGGTTGCAATATCAATGAATGAAGTTATAATCTTGTACATAATACAACTAAGTAGCATACATAATGGTCCGGTAAGATTTATGTAAGGCAATCCTTGACCTTCTCTACTTACTCTCTATATGACCATTATTTACGTTTTCAATTGCTCAGTTTTGCAATACTTGGCATTGACTTTAATTCTTCAATGAAATCATTGTTAGTTTAATGTTCTAGGTGCGTAAACTTTTCACTCAAGGTTACTTTCTGAATTTGTATTGTATTCATATCGTATGAAAATACAACGCAGCTGTAAACTGGTCTGATTGTAACAAATTGCACTGTGTATTTTATAAACATGCTGAAGTTTACAAAGCACTCCATATTACACTGAACAACATCAGCAAAGATTAATATCCTAATTTTAGATTTTGTTTACGATTTTTTAACTTGACAGACCGGCTTGGACCGCAGTGGCAGTCTGTTCAAAAATAAAAAAAATTGCATTATGTTCACTTATACTTACTGTTCACTGTGCACACCTTTACATGAATTTAACACAGAGCAGTTTTTGCTACATAACAAAAAATATTAATATTTCACATAAGTTTTCACAGCCTAGATTTCGTAATTAAACACGTGTGTTCGTTATGTTCCGAGCTTGATTAAATATCTGCACGTGTGCCCCCGTGCAGAGTCGACGGCTGACTGGCCGGCCAATGCCAAGACAATAGTTCAGACATTTCTCGCGTAAGGACTTGTGACATAGAAGGCAGCGTAGGGCGCCGACTGCGCAGACGCACGACTAATCAGATCCGAGCTTGTCGCGTGGTCGCGCCCGCGCCTGCTCTTGTTAAGCAAGAGCTACGGAAACTATCTCGAAACGTGCTCGCTGTATTGTTAAACAATCATTGCATACTGAATTATCTAAAAAATATTTTCTCAAATTGAATTCACATGCGTCATACAAAAATGGGGAAATTGCTACTACGGTATATTCATTCATTCGATTATCTTCAGTACGTGTTATAAATTCGTAAATATAAAAACATAATACTTAATTAATCGGTACTATTTTTAGGTTAAAAATATAATTTTAAAAACATGTTTGGCTGTTTGGTATCTGCTAATAAATATCATTCATTTAACTACCAACTGAGACGGAAATAAACTCGAGACAAATACATTTAAATATTGATTTAATGGACCAATATTCGTATGAAAAAATCGACCATAATAAACATATAGAAGACAATTTTGTTAAAGAGTTAAACTAATCCAATTCATAATTTATGGGACCGAATAATAAAAACGATGCTCTAAATAAAACAGTAAGTAGTGAATAAACGGTATTGAATCCGATGCTACGCTGACGGAATGCACGCTGACACGACACGCTATTAGATCGTTACTCTAAGCGATACCATCCGGCTGGCATTGACAATCGACCAATTGACTCGTGAACCGTCCGTATCACTGCACTCCTATCCCCCAAGAGACATGGTAAAAGAAGAATTCGAAATTCGATTTAAATCTTTAAATGTTAACGTTAGATAGAATTATAATTTGTATTAATTTTGTAAGAGGTCTATATCATCCAATTCATTTTCCACAAACAAGACATTTCATTATTATGATAGAAAATTCTTGTCATGATCTAAAAGCTATCTGTTTGCTTTGAGTCACGGTCTTACAGAGGATTCTTTAGTTTAGACATTCCATATCAATGGCTCTATATGATGTCACATTGATAAAGCGTTTACAGATGTGATTTCAGCGAGATTTAGTCCTTCGGCCTTCTGAAGAAAAAAAATAGTACAACAGTCCTTTCTTGTCTTTTTATCAGACCAAGGTAAGGGTTACTAGTTTATTTGGGTTATTAATTAAACCCAATGAACGAGTGTATCTTTTAAAAGTGACTTATGTTTTATTTACTCGGTATATCCATATTATGTAATGCTATGCTTTCTGAATAATTTTGGTACATGTGAATAAGTAATTGTTTTATATGGACACTTCACTGGTATTTCCGATGATGCGGTCGATCCTTAAGATAGCGACCCACGTTCACTGTCTATAGACGCTCTTTGAATGTAATTACATTGAGTGAACTTATTTATTTGGCTATTAATAAGCAAATATACAATAGGGTAGACGACTAATTTTTATTTTAATGTCCGTCTGATAGATTATTTAAAAACATTAGACACGTATTTTTTATTTTCTCACAGAAACGAATAGTTTCGAAGATATATTGATTTGAAATGTCGCGTGACGTCACTTCTCAGTACATTTTATACTAAGAAATGACGTTTTAGCCCCCACTCCTAAACTTTGATTCGTTTTATCTAAGTATTGTTTTATTATACGACAAAATAAAAAAATACGTGTCTAATATTTTTTCATTACCTAACTTACGGACTAATTATATTTTTAATTTTCATACCCTGTCATCATCCCTTATATCAAACTAAAAATTTACTTCGAAGCATTTTTTTTTTAATTTTAATGGCCTTAAAATAAAGATCTACTAGAATCACCCTTAACTTGAAAACTATTGAAACTGAAGACTTTGACGCAGTTGGAAATTGTTGCTTAAATTTTTGGTTGTGGTATATAGTACAATAGTGTGGGAAAATTTGCTAACTGCTGCTTCATTTCACATTCATTATATGGCTATTCTCATGTCTAATGTATTCATCGCGACATTTGTAAACAAATTCAGTTCTACATTGACAATGACAGATTGTTTGTTACATAATTGCGTGTTACTCACCCCCCTATTACATGGGACTCATTCATAACATAAATAGTGAAAAGTGGGTGTTACATTGTACAGTGGTATACTAATGTGCACCTCTGCCTACCCCTTCGGGGATAAAAAGCGTGATATTATGTTATGTTAATAATTGCGTGTTGTTGTTAGTACTTATGGTATGTAATTTATGCTTCTCAACAAAAATATTTTCGGTAAATCTTATCCATCTACCACAAACTTTATTGGTATCTTAGCCCACGTTAAGTTTACAGACATAAAAAATACAGAATAAAATCTAACAAATATGGCCAACAGCATTACAAACAATTGAGTTTCGAGTTTTTCACCAGTTTTTAGTATTTGTTATCCTTGTTACGCCTTATCGCCTGTTAGATTTTCAGCCTACTCTGTAATCATTACAGAATCGAACATTGTACAATGTAACAAATTGGCACGGGTTATGTAACCGTGAAAGTGTATTGTAATTCATCAAGTTATATTAACGCGTGGATATGTGCCACGCATCACTAGCAAGGCACACTCGTTGTATTATAATTCTGCTCCTCGCATGTGAAGGTTGGCTCAGATTCTGATTCGTTGGAAGGTGAAGGCCTCACAGTGAGCGGATGAAGGATTTAGTACACAGGTGTCCAGCTGCACCAGTTTATTACTTATCTACTGCTTTGCATACATTATGTTATCTATATCAAGTCACCGCAATAGGAGAGTTATATTAAACTGACTCACTGATATTGAATAAATATGCTCAATGCCAAAGGTACAAAATGACACATAAAATGACAAATTTCCTGGATTTCGGTTAAATTAATAAAAACATTGTTTTCCTGGTTACATAAAATTGAATCACAGCAAATACTCTCAATTAGATATGAGTCATGATTTGTCTGTCGGTATAAGTATTATACCTAATAATAATATTTTCATAATGAAAAACATATTGTCCTGATCATCCACCCGCTGGCTTCGTGGCCTGACTGCAACTTACAATTTAGTAATGATGACAATTCATTTAGATGCTTCCGCTACGTGATTGTTTTCCTTCGCCGTTTGTTACTTAACACGTTAAATCATGTTACAGATCGATATTACAGAATGTTCTGGTAAAAGATGACGTCATAAAAAAAAATTAAGAATGATTTTATCCCTGGAAGTTCCACCTTTGGGTCAAGCAGTAATCAGATACTTCACTGGAGAAAAGTGTAGTATTCAGATACTTAACTGTAACTACATTTTTATTTGCATCTCTAGGGCGCAAAACATACTTACCTAATGTTTCCATTCCAAGTTATATATTTATAAAGACCAATATAATATGAAATAGCAACACAAAATATTGACTTATACTCTGCCTATACTCAGGTGTCACATGATCACACCGTTCAAATATAATGTTTTTGTTACAGTTAACAGACATAGTGAACGCTATGTCGACGCGCGGCGAGCTGCCTCTAGAGTTGGCTCTCCGGGGGCGAAGCTCCTCGATAGCCACGACATTGCTGCAGCACTGCGCGGATGCCGATGCGAGAGGCCTGCGGGGTCGCACTCTGCTGCACCGCGCCGTCGACTCTAGAGACGCCTTCTCCGCCAAGTTTCTCGTCGATAATGGCGCTGATCCTAATCTAACTACCAAGTTAGTGACTGTGCATTTAATGTGTCATATGCTAAGAATAAGCGCTGTATCGCCTTCTTGCGATCTGTTTAAATAAACTTGTCACCATAACTATATATGCATTCAAGTTTATGACAGCTATGGATGATTACTGCATATTAACTGAGTGATCGATATCGAGTATGATTTCATTGTACGTTTCTTTCTGTACAGAGAAGAGGGTGACACTGCGCTACATTTGATAGCATCACTCACGTCCAGTTCATGTGACGAAGAAACCATGGAGCAAATGGCTGAAATCGCTGAAGTGATGGTACAAAAAGGAGCTGATATCAACAGACAAAATAGAAAGGGATAGTAAGTACCGTGCAAACGTAACTGTTCTTTATAGCCTGCCAGAGCCAGACAGTCTTCCGCATGCGTCGCGCGTACATCAATTACGCGCATATTTAGTGAACGTGTCACATACACCTGAGTAATGTTCGCCCTTTTTGAACTGGATTTAATGGCCTTCGGCCAAATCAGTTTTGATACTATGCCCTTAAGTCAGTCCAAGTGTTCTAAATTAAAATATTTTTATAGCACTCCTCTACATCAAGCAGTGATAGCTAGAAACCAAAGGATATTCGACATACTTCTCAAGCAGCCAACGTTAGATACCAATTTACGGACTTTAAGTGACGAGCATCCGCCTCTGTACTACGCACTAGTGGACGACAGGAGGGCGTCTATATCCTCCAGCGAGACTTTAGTAATGAATGGTTCCAACCCCTTCGATACGCCAGTGACGAACAAAAACGCCTTCACCGAAGACCCTGTGGAGGGCAAAACAGAAAGTGTAGTTGAAAGAGGGTTCGCAGCCAAACTATTGGAGAAAGGTTGTCAGCCGAACCCGCTGTATTCGGGGGCTGGAGACAGTCTATTACATATTCTTGCTCAAGGATGGTTCGAGGTAAGCCAAAATCTATCGAAAAATAAGTCTTACATAAATGAAATTCTTTTATATTCTTAATCTCTTTTATGTCGGTATTTAAGACACAATAAAACACACATTGTGTCTCGCATAGATCTACCTCCGATATACTAGATGTTAATGCAATTTGTATACAAATGGATTATTATTATCGCAAGGAATCGGCAGTGTTCTTGGTGTCCCACCTGAACGGTGAGCTGAACCACAGTAACGAGGCAGGCATGAGTGCGCTCCACGCGGCCTGCGCCAACGGACTCGCGCGACTGACTGCCACTCTACTGGAACATGGTGCCAGGCCTAACTTGCAGACTGCGTATGGAGAGCAAGAGGACACTGTCTATAGGTAATATTCATGAGTGTTATAGCTCTTGCGGGACAAACTTGCTCATGTAACTGTTGGATAATTAAAGTAACTCGATTAGTTTTAAGTCACGCCGGGGCACATAATTATGAGCAGCATTGAGCAACAAACGACGCGACAATTAATTTCATTTTAAACCTGTCTCCAGACAAACGCCGCTACACTTGGCAGTACTGAACAACCACGAGGGAGCAGTACTGGCCATCATAGAACATAAGAAGCTGATAGAGAAGGGCGACATGCCCGCCACCGACCGCACTAACACCAGCCTTACACCCAACCTTAACTTGAAGAACTCTGAAGGAGACACACCCGTCAGCTTGGCGCTCACTGAAGGTAGGGTAACTTTGCAAATAATAATATCCAATACTTTATCAAGAAATATAACAGAGTTGTTTGTTTAATCGAATTCAATTTTAACATCGTGATCTACCTTCTATGAATTGATGTGGCGAAACAGTGTAAAATAATTTGATGCACATAATGCACACGATATGTCTTATTTGGTCTGATAAAATACTAGAACGGAAAGCAAAGATGAATTAATTATAAAGGAAGTTCATAAACTACTTACTTTTTATTACAAATTCGTGACTATAATAATTATAAATATCGTATGGAATATTATCACTAAACTCATAAAGCCACAAAAAATACCACATACAAGTTGTAACTAGAACTTCTTGCAAATAAAAATAGTGTAATACGTAACTGATCCGTACCTAATATCATTATTTCAGGTCACAAAAACTTAGTGGCGCCGTTGATCGAAGGCGGTGCGGACCCTAACATTAGGAATGGCAAAGGATTCACACTGTTACATCAAGCTATTGTAGAAGAGGACTCTAGAACAGCTATATACCTGCTCGACCATGGAGCTGATATGAATGCACTGTAAGTAATGCACGAGTATTAGTATTGCTACTCACTGGTTATTAAAACAAATAGTATAAAAAATCAGAATTGGTGGACTCTTTAAAAAAATATCTTGTTCGAAAGTACACTGAGATCACTAGATAGCATAGTTTAAACCATGGCGAAGTGTAAGTTATCAGGTTTTTGGTTGATATTCCTGAAGGTCCAGTTAAGTCGACAAAAGCCTTTTAGGCGTGAAGCATAGGGGGCGGGGACTTGTCCTCTATGTGCGTTGGTAGCATGATCATTTAAGTTTTTTTTATTCTCTAATAATATCTCCTGATTTATTTCGTTTAGGGAACCAAGACAGTTATTAATGTCCCTGGGATGCGCCGGACTTCAGTGTTCTGGTGTTTTCATGGATGTATCCGTTTTGGGATGGAGTGGCGGGATATACCATAAAAAAATACATTTGTTATGTAAATGCACGATGGGATTGGCATCGTCACAAAATGTGTACAAAAATCTCTCATAATAAATGAGATTTAAAAAAAAGACAGCCCGCTTTATGCTGTACACCATAAGGTGATATGCGATTATCTCATGTCGCAAAACGAAATTAGCTCTTACGTAATGTTTATACGGTGTACATTAGCACGGAGGCAGGCGAGACTCCCCTGCAGCTAGCGATCCACTGCCGGCTGGGGCTGGTCGTGGAGGCGCTGTGTGTGCGCGGCGTCGACATGAGTCGCCTCGACGCCAACGGGGTGCCGCCACTGTGGGCCGCGCTCGACTCCGGCCAGGAGGAAGTCGCTAGCGTAAGTACTTTGTATAATATGTGTACAAATACTATAGGTAAAACTTCAGAAGAAATGAATTGGTTTTGGAAGTCCACTACACAGTCCACAATGGTTTTAAGAATGAAAAATTGTAACCATCCTGAAGGATTATATAATGGATATAAATATGAAAAATTTGTACTTGGCACGCAGTTTCTCATGGTCTTAAGGTTTTAAGTGACAGTTAAAAGACGGTAGTTAAAAGAAATTTAGCAGTCACAGACACAATACATAAGTGATAAAGTCAGTTCAATCCAACGTAATCTATTTCAACTTGTTTTAACAAGTCAAGTATTCTTGGTGAGATGATACAAATACATTAATAATAGTTTTATTCTGAAATAAAAATGGCTTTTTAAAAGGAAATTATCCTTTTATGTAGTTATTGATTAGTTTCCTGTTATGCACTGTCTGGTTGATAGCTTTTATATTGGAAATTCCAAAATGCAACAGGTAAATGAATAAATTTGCAAAGAATTGAAGGTCTTTTGTTAATGTTTAGATCCTGGTGAGAAACGGCGCGGACGCAGACTGTTGGGGACCAGGCCCTGATGGATGCATACAGACGTTGTTACACAAGTGAGACATAATTATTAATCATTATGTATAACAATTGACAACAATTTGTCTGAAAGTCACAAAGCAATATTTTTTTGCACTAAGTAATATGTTTATTTTACACTGCATGTAGTGATGTATAGATAATACTATAGAGAAAAAGATTAAGGATGTCTATTTTGTAATGATGTTATTCTCTAGAACATAATCACGCTTTCTGTTCCTTAACGAGGTTGCAGGTTATGTTATGAGTCGCTTGTAAACAAAACAAAAGTAAAAATACTTTGTTCGACTCGAGTGAATTCAAGACCCCTCGACTTAACCTACGAGGCAGTTGAGAATCTCTAGTTAATACTACAAACAAACCCTATGACACCATTTCCTTACTTTTACATTACAATTATGTACAATCCCATTGTTTATTTGAATAGAGCAATAGACGAGAACAAGGAGTCGCTAGCGATGTTCCTGATCCGGTCGGGGTGCGACGTGGAGTCCCCGCGCCGGCTGGGGCCGGCCGGCGAGGGCGCTGAGGTCGCCAACGAGAAACATTCCCCACTACATCTCTGTTGTACTTGGGGACTTACTGATGTTATACAGGTATACTATTGTTGACATTTAAAAATAAATATTCAACATATTTGCGCCCCTTGCGGATATTTCTGGCGCGACCGACCTTATTGCCTTACAGCAGGTACAACTCTACTATTTATAAAGAATTTTCCCTTTTTTAGTTTCACGTTTTCACTGTACAATGTAACAAACACTACATTATTACTATTTATGTTATGAGTCACATGAAATAGGGGCAATAGGCTTACTATTGCCATATATGTTTGTTAAGTGTGGGAGAACCATGGTGTTTCGGGTATAGTGAGATGTGATTACCTAAGTCATTTGAATCCCTAGATCAATAAGGACTCTTTAATAAATCATTATCTTTATCCAACAGACTCTCTTAGAACATGGCGCAAACATAAACTCTAAGGACGCGGAAGGCAAGACGCCCCTTCATATAGCGATAGAGAACCAACACGCCGGTATCATCACACTGTTACTGTCACAACCCGGAATCGAACTGTCCGCTAGGGATAACAAGGGAGTGTCGCCCTTCGCGGCCGCGCTTACAGCGAGGAACAATAAGGCAGCTCAAGCTATATTGGAGAAGAATCCTTCAGCTGCTGAACAGGTGAGTGTTTTTACTACTGGCTTATGACGTAAACAAACATTTGATATGCTTGTTTCCATAAGCAGCCCGTGGCAGTCCACTTCTGAACTATTAGTCTCGTCTTCATAAGAGAGATGGTTGCTGTAATCTCCACACTTGGCAGGCGAGTTGGAATGTTCTATATCGGTTCATTAGATTTACCTATGCCTCATATTATAATGCTTATAAATACAAAACCTATTTATCAAATTATTGTATATATTATTATTATTATTTCGTAGGTGGACAAAAAAGGTCGTAACTTCCTCCACGTGGCGATACAAACATGCGACGTGGAGAGCGTGATGTTCCTCCTGTCGGTGGAGGTGGACGTCAACTCGCGCGTACAGGACGCGACACTAGCGCCGCCACTGCACCTCGCGGCCGCCACCGGACACGAGGTGCTGCTGCGGAGTCTGCTACTGGCTGGGGCCCGGCCTAACGACAGGGATGCGCACAAGTATGATACTTACGCTTTTGTTATTAAACTTTATTTTGATAATTTTGTATATGATTTTGATGTAGCAGATGATTGCGAGTGGCGCCGATTATTTTTTTATTAGGTGATCCGTTTGCGCCGTGTCATGTGTCGTGTCAATCATGTGTCGTGGATGACTATCTACAGGAAATTTATGTGTAATCTTTTTAATTCAACCCTTAATACGTGGGATCAATGTATAAATAAATGTGTGTTGTCCAGACGCACCGCGCTGCACGTGGCGGCGGGCGCGGGCCACGAGGCCATGGTGTCGGCGCTGGTGTCTGGCGGCGCGGAGTGGGGCGCCGTGGACGCGGCCGGCGACAACGCGCTGCACGTGGCCGCGCGCGACGGACACGCCGCCGCCGCGCGCGCCCTGCTCGCCGACACCGACATCGACGCCGCCGCTACTAACCTCAAGGGTACGCCATCATTGTCCGCCCTAACATTTCTACTGCTGACTTCACACTTCTTTCCCTTAGGGTGTGTCCACATCTGGCGAATGTACAGATCGCGGGCCATTTGCGAGCTGCACGGGTGCATTTAAAATAATTATTTATACGAGCCTTGCAGTTGCACTAAAGAGGTGCACCAAACCATTGCCGTGACTGCACGCGCGCAGTTCGCTAACGCAAACGGCTCGCGAGCTGCACATTCACGGAACATTCGCCAGATGTGGACGCACCCTTACAAGTCCACCTGAAGAGGCTTGTCATAATTCCATAGACTTGGAATTAGCAAAATTTTAGAATGCCTCGGATATGGTCAGAATTTTAGAGTGACGAATTCGTAGGTATGTATATATCATTGTACACTAGCTACTTCCGCGCGGTTTCACACGCTCTGCTCAGCTCCTATTGGTCGTAGCGTGATGTTTATAGCCTATAGCCATCCTCGTATCTAAATGCGCTATCCAACACAAAAAGAATTATTCAAATCAGACTTGTAGTTACGGAGATTAGCGCGTTTAAACAAACAAAAAAAACAAACTCTTCCGCTTTATATAAAAGTGTAAGATTCTGACTATTCTTGCTCCCACTCTTTCGAATAAACCTTATATTCACCCTTAATTATCTCATCAGGTAGAAATCCATTGCACGAGTTATGCTGGTGTAAAAAGGACAACGCAGCGACAATCTGCGAAATATTCCTTGAATTCATGCCTGACTACCCGATCAACAGGACTGATTTACAGGTACATTGTTTTTATCAACTTACATCATCAGAAGTGCTAAAAATGAATAAGGTCTGGGCTGGCCGATAGAATATTTGCTTATTTGTATAATGTTTCCACTTTATTATTGTCCAGGGTAACACTCCGCTCCTATTAGCATACATGAACGGTCAGGGCGCTATGTGCAGAGTCCTAGTGCGGGCCGGTGCATGTCTAGCGCAAGAGAATAAAGACGGAATATCTATTTTCAATTACCAAGTAAGTAGCACTTATTATCCGTAAATATAATAATATTATGGCAGAATGAGTAACACACATGTAATAACTTTCGTTCAGGTGGCTACGAAACAGTTACTGCATCGCCTTCTAGACGTGTTGCCGGCCGAGGCGCCCTGGGCGGAGAGCGATCTGTGCCAGGAGTGCGGCACTAAGTTCACGCTCACCATGAGGAAACACCACTGGTATGATTTCATAAACATATATCATTTAAGATGTCATAAATGTGTTTTACGTGAAACTGCACCTCTACTTTTAAAAAAAATATGTTGTTTCCCCAGTCGTCATTGCGGCCGCATGCTCTGTAACAAGTGTTCCAGTCAAGATGTCCCGATCCTCAAGTTCGGTATGAACAAACCACAGCGGGTCTGCGAGATCTGCTTCAACGTGCTGCAGGTCGGCGCGAGTTAGTGACTGGAACGTACGGCAGCCGAACATTTCGTACAGCGTCTGTGCGTTGACCCGATCTCTATTGCTCCCTTCGACTTATTGGCGCGCGTGTTCATTGGCCACATCTCATCACGAGAGCAAATGTATTCAATGTAACACGTGCGATCACGTCGGCTATCCTGGTACAAGCAGGCTCTATAAGAACCCACATCTTTAACAATCAGCAGTATATAGTACTCTACAATCTACATGAGTCATCTGACTAGAAAGTTTTTATAAATTATATTGCCGTCGTATACCCGTGACTACATTACAATAACTCTTATATCGTTAGCCTACAGAGGCTAGACCGTTTCTCCCAGCTTCTAGTTGGTAACTTATATAATTTCCCAATATTGTAAATCTTAGTATTTAACTGTATGTATAAATATTTACATAATGCCTACGCCTTTTGACTCGATGAATGACATTTAACGTAAGTCACAGACAGCGTGATTTCTTGTCTGTTAAGGTTTAGATAGCAATATGTTATTTTGTACTATTGATATGATGTTCAATGTGATTTAGTTAAGCTTGAAAGGTCACAGTTAAAGTTCGGAGTATACTATGTAATGCCTAGAATGTAATTTTTACAAGCCAAGAGCGCGTCCATTAGGTGATAATATAACGAGAACATAAATTTGCTTATAATAGTGCCTCTACACTTATTACACGACACATGTTTAGGCTTCTTTTACTAAATTATACCAAAGTTTTCTATGGTTTCATTTCCGACATGTCTAGCTTTAATAATTATAATATTGGTTTATTTTATATTGTTAAATATTATTGTTTAAATTTTATGATATATGTCACACATGAGATTTTTTGGTTATTTATTTAAGAAAAAAAAATATCTATTTGAAAATCAATTTATGGAAAATAAAACACTAGGTATGTCACAGTCACTGTTTCGTGATGGGCATGATGTTTATATTCGTTTCCTACTTTACATGTGATCATTATAAATACACTCTCTTGTTCATAAACACAAAAAACTATGAACCAACTTTATTCATAAAATATTTTGACTGTTTATGAGTAAGATGATTTTACTTTATAAAACATGTAAGCATTTCATACTTTTAAAGTCAATTTTAATTACTTTAGCTGTAGGGATTTTATAGAAACTGAAATGTATTCTTTTATTGCATAGAATAAGATAAGTACGTAATAAACATTTACATTTTGTAAAGGTCATATTTGATAATATTTGGCATTTGTATTGACATTCCGATTATTGTGCACAGGTTTATGGAAATACACTCTGTATAAATGTTATTAAAATACTTTTATTTTATCGAGTGCCATTTTACTTGTGATGTTCCAAAACTAAAATTCTTATTGAGATTTATTTTTTTATTATGTTTTTTACGAAATTATTATTTCTTGTTCGAAATTTTATATTTGCATTAATTAATAAAAAATATATTTAATTATGTAGCACGCTTTTTATTGCTTATAGTAGAAAAATAAATACTTGGCATGTTAAATAAAAGGCAAGTATTAATGGCAATTATTTATTTACAAATAAACAATAAACTTCAACTCTGCGATCTCCACACTTGGTACATAAATAAATTTGCTAAAACTACACCTACCCTTTGTACCAAAGTATACTATAACAGCACATAATAATTATGTTACATAACATAAGAATGGTAGTTTGGATGGTAGTTCAGGGTATGAAATTAAAATTAAATTACTTTAGCCTTTTGAAGAGGTCCTTTGTCACGCAGTGATCAAGGACATGCAGATAGTCAATGAGCTCCTCCTCGCAGGTCTCTGTAGTCTGGGAGCGGGAATTGACACGGTCATTGCACTCCTGGTACTTAGACCAGAGGTTCTGTGCGTCAGACTTTTGTGAGCACACCTCCTGTAATGACATAAATATGTTAAATACTTGCAATATGTTTGTATATTACTATTCAAAATAAGACCAAATGTACTGAAAATTATTCTATTAATGCATATTTGATTCGATTCATGTCTGACACTAACATTTACAGTGTAGAAATGTAACTAATTTATATTTAAATAATACTGTTAGAAAAGTATGTAATATAGCAACAGCTAATCAAATGACATACTAGCAGTAACAACTTTAATGAAATTGAAGTTAAAAAATAAGAAACCTTATCTTTTTTATACAACAAAATGGTTTCTTGGACACATTTTCAGTCTCTAAAAAAAGGAAAAAAAGAAATATTAGATGGCTGAGAGGGAGCTAACAAACAAGGCGGCGGATGCACTGAAGATGAATAGAAGAATAAAAAAGTTTATGTTATGACCAAAACTGCTGATAGAAAACTATTGAAAAAATAGTCTACTAACTTAGGCATGTTTTGGCTGACTTTGGCCATGGTATCAGTGCAGGCAATATGTGTGGAAAAATGTTGGATACTCTCACGAATCATTTATTTTATCAACCATTCACAACTTCCACAGAGCAATCAATCACAGTACATAATTATGTATCCAGACTCAGGTGCAGAATAACAGATGGACAGCTGATATCCTGTGTTTTAGTATGGATTTAATTTGCCCACATTGAAAACATGGCTTGATATCATATCAAACTGTTGCGTTGGGTTAGTGGGTTTATAAATGCCTATTTTTCAATTAAAGATTTGATCCAGAATTTAAAATAAATAAGTCTGTGGTTTCACCATCAGTAAAATCAAACACCCTTTGCTAGTTTGCTACACTCTGGCCACAGTTTCAAACTAAAACAGTGTAATTGAAGTAATTTTAGGATAATTTTATCAAAAAGATATAATTACCACTAAATAAAATGGTCACATCACAGTGACAATAATCTTGTGTGGTTGGTGTATGCTCAGATATGCTAATTAATGGTTGTTTAAAGGTCACATTAGTGTTTTTAGCCCACGTTGTTTCTAACAATAAGAGCACATAATGGCTATGATAAATTCTCAAACAAAAAAAAAATTAACTCTATTTTCACAAAACGAGGTTATATTATTAATTTGGAGACAAAAATTAACACTACTAAATCACATATCTTATGCAATAATTGGAAACAAATATTGTTTAAAATAGTACCCTTAGTTGATTCTGGGGATCAACCATTTCTTCCTCCTCAGCCGCTTCCTCCTCGGCCTTGACCACAGGGATAATTTTCTTCTCGGACATCTTGCCTGAAAATTAAATTCACTATATGTCACAACTTTTAATTGATAATATTTTCAAAGTTTTAATAACAGATCACTAATTTCTAGTCAAAAAGTGGAATATTTTACAAAATTTTACCTAAATCGATGATGCAACGACCGATAGCAAGTAAGCAATATTGCTAGGTACAAAAAATTTTCTCTATTATTTACACATAACATAAGTAAAAATATTTTAAACATTAGCTTCAATATTTCCCTCAGATATGTATTTTTTGAGTATTTCATGATTTCAAAATATTAACTTCTTGTCTGTCGATATATGAGACACATTTAGAAAACACATTGTGTCTCGCGCGTGGATCTGCTTTCCGACACTTCACAGCTTAAAAGAGAAATATTTAATAATTTTGCTACTTTTTTATTATATATGTAAATATATCATCTAATGAAATAGCAAATTACGTCAATTTTTCTCGTAATTTGCTAACCATTTTATTGTGTTTTAAAACAATCTGAAAGGCCTTGTTACCAATATTATTTGGATATAGCAATATTGAAGTTTAAAAAAATACGACAATGACATTATGCAAGGTAACAACCTAACAGGACAAAAATTTGTCCATGAAGTATTGAGATTTTGACGTAAAAATCCTGACACTTGAGTAGCTTCAAAATGTATACTTTATGAATAAACATTGTGGTAGAAGAGTCAACTGAAGATTTTATAATAATGTTTGATAAAATATAAATAAAAATACAGTTAGTTATGTTTTCAATATACTTCAAGTTATTAAATGTGCTGATTGTATCTTAAGTAAAAGGATAGAATGTGAGTATGATTTAATCCACTCGACAGCTTCGAGCTGGTCGTCACCATGGAGAGAGCTTGCTGTAGAAAATTATTTTATATTTCAGTTTTGTGGTGTTAACATAGAATATATCTAGTAGTACAAATGGCCATTGAAATAAAAGAGTTATAAATTTATACAAGTTTTAAAAAGATAAACTATAACTCTGCCATAAATTAAGAACTGGATGATTTTCTAACATATTGTTTTATAAACATTTCAGCATCGAATATGGAAAATAGGTACATTTGTATAATGAATAACTTTCTTACAGGCCTTGGAACCCTCAAATGACACCAGCCCTTGTTATTTGAGAACATTTGTTGATTTATTGGCATTGGGTGAGGTTATGTTTTATAAAACAATATTACCGTTTTATGTTGCAGAATGAATGGAGGAATGGAGCATAAAACTCCAGGTCACAATGTGGTGCCTCATAAAGCGCCTAAAAACTATAAATTGCTCATGGACCCTTTCCTTGTGAAGGGAGTTACGGCAAAAGTTTATAGATACGATGGCAATGTTCCTGGCGACACAACTTATCCACCGGTGCAGTGCAGAGACCCTCGATCGCAGCTTTCAAGGATCTGGAATAGATTAGAGCCAGCAGATCTCCCAGTCCCTAGGTACACATCTAGATTTTTTGTAATATTTTGACAAGAATTTTATATTGAAACCAATGTTAATTTTGCATGTATTGTTAAACAAATAACAATCTAATCAGTTAAATTTGATGAAGTATAGTGAAAAAGTTGGTTTTGTTAACCTAGCCAGATACTATCTTGCAATAATAAGCTAAAAATCATGTTTGTATCCCGGTGACATAACCAAGTTAAGAATTACAGTATACAAGCTATTTCAGCATTCACTATGCTTTTTAACTTGAAATTTATATGGAAATACAATTAGAACTGCAATTAGTGCTAAATTAATAAAGAAAATGTAATTTTGGTTATAAACTTCTTTGTTTTTATTATAGGTTTAGTGACAGTGGTACCAACATGACATTTTGTTTTGACATCTCGTGTATTAGCGCCAATTTTAAAATCTCTATGCTAATGGTTAATTTATTTTAATTTTCAGGTTCAAAATAGACAAAAATTATGTAGGAATACCTCCTCAATTGGAAATCACCATAGGAAATTTAAATGACAATATTGATAAAGCATTTCTGGCAGATATGATGAATAAAGTAGGTCCCTATGAAGAATTAACAATATTTTACCATCCAATCACAAACAGGCACTTGGGATTTGCAAGAATAGTGTTTCAAGATGTAAAATATTCTAAGCTATGTGTAGAAAAATATAACGGGAAATCTGTCATGGGTCAGGTATGTATGAAAATCTTTTTATTTTTAAGAAAATTAATAAATGTAATTTAAATTATAAATACTGATACAATTACTGTTAGAACTATTGATATGGAAGTTGTATCTCAGATTCGTTAAGTTGTATCTCAGATTCGTTGTTCTCGAACCAAGGAGTGATTTGTGCAGAATATTATTATATCCAGTTGCTTTACTGGCTGCGCTTGTGAAATTGTGTTTCTCATTACTAACTTTTCTGTGACTTAATACTAAATTGATTCAGCAACCCAAAGCAGTTTGTGGTGTCCAATATCAACCTCCCCATAGTGCTACTTGTCTTGGCAATATTCATATATAACCAGTCTGAAGAACTTTCAACGCATTAGATAATAAATAAATTTAATTTCCAATATTGCAGGTGCTTGAAGTCTTCCATGATGCTTTTGGTAAGAAATGCCAAGAAATGTTTGAAAATAAGACTGTTGAGAAGAAGCCCCAGCTGGTGGCTCCCCCTATTGTCACCAAGCCTCCAGTCATTGTTGAAGAAGTCAGACCAACTAAGACTGACCCCACACTCAGCAAGAGATTAGAAGAAGCTAAAATTACTGAAAAAGTGAGTTGTATTTTCTGCCGTTTTCTTAATAAATTATTATTTGATGATTTAGTAAAGTGACACAAATGTTTGGAAGTCTTTTGCAACATTAATGAAATAGCTCGCAGAAATTAGAGAAACCATGTAAGTGTTATCTAGTTTTGGTTGTTTTTTTTTTTAGAAATAGTTCTTAACACCTAAAGTGCCATGTCAGCTGTTGCTAATGGAGATTTGACTTTCACCAATTTAAAAGAGCATTAATAGTGTTAATAATAGGTATGGGATGATACCTGGTTCAGAACTCATTTATAAAATAACTGGCTGAAAGCAGACATTCCGATGTGTGTTAAGTGCTTATGTCGTCTTGAACAAAACGGAAAGAAACGTTTTATTATTATTATTTATTAGGAACCCTACTCCCGCTACAAGGAGAGCATAGACCATGCCAGTGACAGTAACACCCGGTGGTCAGACGAAGAGAGAGAGTACCGACATCGACACCGCAGCCGCGGCGAGCGAGACAGGGACAAGGATAGAGACCGAGGAGATCGTGACCGGTAACTATTTACTTATAATTACGTTCAATTAATTAGAGTAACTAACAAAAATTAATTAGAGTAAATAACAGTTATGATAGAAGATGAAAATAATGAGACCAAAGGTTGATGTGACCATGTTTAAAAATGATGATCTTTATCAATAACGAATTGACATACAACCATGTGTGTTATTCTACTTACCTCTTCTGGTTAACTTTATTTTAGTCTAACTGCATTAAAATGGGTGTCTATTAATCTAGATGTAACTTAGTTGGCAGTAGTGAAACAGATCCTGAATGTTTTAAAGACATTTAATAAAGATTAAAAATCATTATTTATTACATCAGTCATATGATATAATGTTGTTAAATTATTTTAAGAAAAATTTTAAATGTTCTAATTTTACTGTGCAGCTAACTACTAATTTAAGTGTTCATGACCAACTAACATTTAATAAAATTACCATCCAAAGTACCCTCTGTCATGAGAAATAATATTTTTAGATTATAACAATAGAATTGTTCTAAATTCTCATTAATATTTCTTACAAGCAAAAAATGCAAGAGGAAATGTCGGCGAAGGTATTCTAACATTTTTAATAATATTGTGATTTCTTTTTTTTGTGTTTTTAGTTAATTTTTTGGCTGATGGTAGTGCCTATGGATTTTATTTTTTATTTAAGTGAACAGAGTCATTTATGCATATTTTTTATTAATTGACTTTATGCTTTGTTTGATTTGTATTGTATCTTGTTTCGTTTCCAACAAATTGCTCTTTATAAAACCGATTCCCTTACTAATGATATTGACACATGATTTAAATTACAAATACTACCAAAACTATGTCCTTTAGATTGTGCTTTGTTTGTAATTTTATAATGTTTAGGATTCGTAATAGTTTTAAACGTTTCATAATAATATTTGCAGAGAACGGTACCGCGAGCGGTACGGGCGCGGTACGAGCGAAACGAGCGAAGCGACATACGCGGGCGGGCACGCCCCCGAGGTGCCGTACACGCCGCACGCGCCGCACCCCACGCACCCGCCCCCCGCCGCCATGCCGTACGAACCCTACTACCAGCAGAGGTGATTCTATTCATAATTATCCTCATTGATGAAAGATTATTAGCAAAGCAATGTTAATAACTTGTAACAGTTAATTATTTCATCGGATTGCTTAAGAGCCGTGACATGCTGAAGGCTTGAACAGATACTTTATGTTTCAAATGGAAAAATTGTTACTTTGTGTTGAAAAGTTTTGTCAAAAAGTACTTCAAATAAATCCCATCAGAAACATGATTTGGAATCCATCTTGCGATGTTAGAGCTTGATCACAAGAGATTTCTTTTAAGATTATGACTAGTCGTATTTTAGTAATGTGTCAATAAATTTTAATTTGTTCCCTACAGCTATGGGTACAGTTACACTCCAGGCGGCGCGGCGAGTGGGAGTAGTATGTGGTGGGGAGACTGGAGACATCCACACCACAGCTCACACCACCACTCGCACGTGAGTGTCTCCTCAGTAATGTGCCGCCATGCGTGGACTCCCACAACAGTCTTGTAACCCCTCTACTGTTGTGAATGTCCGCAGTTAGTGCGGATTAATTACCATCAATCCATCTCGTTTGCCCTCTACCCTACAAAATAACTAAACAAACACCTTAACTGTTTAGTTAAAGCTGACTGACTGGATGTAATGTCTAGATTTCAGTAACAATTTAATTTGAAAATAAAGAACTGTACATAAAACAACATCCTCTTTTATAATGTTTTATTCTACAATTAATTTGAGTGTTTTACCTGTTGGATGTCTTCATAACAGCGTGTATAAATCAAAATACTAACAACAGTTTGTGCGTCCCCATCGATTCATTACATCATGCCACTTGGTCAATATTACATTGTTGCTTCTTCATCTTACGTCGCATTTCATGAGCCATTCATACCTATCATTTACTGCGCTGTAAAAATTGCAATATTTCCAAACCATCAACTCTTCGAAGGTGTTGGTTATAATGTAAAATTATGTGTATTCTTTTATAATCTGCTTTCAAATATAATGCAAAATCTCTTCAATATTATTTAAGCTTAGAAAAGCGTTGAGATTTATTAGTATATGGTACACTTTTAGCTGCCAATCTCAGGGTGCAAAGATGCAATTAAGCTTTAACTCTCTCTTATCTTTATTTTAAATTATTCGTGTTAATGTGGGCGTAAAATAAAGTAGAAGTTGTAACGAATGTGAAGCTGGAGCGTCGTTCGTCGGCGACGCCGGGGTGGGTGGCACCCGCTACACCAGTCAACAAGGACTCGCACTCACCCGACCTCAGGGACAAGGAGCGACCGCACAAGGAGAAGGTCTGCTTACACCATAGTTTACGTAACATACGGATATGATAAGTGTAATAAATCATTGTGGTAATTATATTATTGAGTAACATTTAAATATTGTTGTTTACAAAAAGGTTTTCAAGGCCAAGTTTCTTATTGAAATTTCTTTATTATTGTTCCGTTTTATCCGTGTTTTACGTAATCTGTGGTCTTTCTGTAGTGGGCGTAGGTGTACACGATATGTATTGTAGCTTGTTGTAGTTTTATAATGCAACTGAATATTTTTTATATATTTACCAATTGAGATTTAGGTTCGTTCTAAATGTAATTTATGTTAAAGACAATAAATGTGATTGCACCCTTATTATACACTCAATGTTATATTAGATGTAAGTTTATGTAAACACACCACTTTCACTTTGCATGAAGCATGTTCACAGTCACCAATCCATATTATCACTAGCACCCCTAATATTCACTCGCTGTAAATTGCATGGACTTATCTAGAAATGCTCGACTTGGTTATATACGCCATGGCCATACCGGAGCTGATAATTATGAGCGACGAGGACAGTTGTATCACCACTTCCAACATTATCACTCTTTGAATATAGCTTATGTAATGTAGTATCATTGGATATCAAAATGCTGTATTTTTTAGTTACTTTAGCTTACTACTAACATTTTATTATCAGTGCATGTTATATAAATTTCTGTTACTCATCACATTTGAGTATAATAGTATTATTGAATACAGGAAGTACCCGTGGACCCTAAGTCTGCGGAAGTGGTGGAGCCCCGTCCCCCTGAAGACATCACGGACAGCAAGGAACCAGAGCCCAAGCCACCGCCACCTGCTGAGGAACCTAAGAATGTCGACCTTGACACTAGGTAATAAATGTCACTAAAATACTTATCACAATTGCGAGGAGCTTATGTGGAATGTTGACACGGGTTGTAAAATGTTTCTTCTCAAAGTCATAAGATAGGGACAACAGGCCACAACTAGCGTAACTTTAAGAGATATTGACGTATAGACTGCTACTTCACAAAAATTGTAAGATTCTGTAGCTAGCATTGATTTACTTTTGAATAATAAGAAAATAGTCATAAATTTATAGATTTTTAACAAATAATTACCATTTTACAGAATAGCGATGTTGCTGAAGGGTGTCAGTACAGGCGGAGGCATGGCGCCACCTTTCCTTGCTCTCGGTATTTCTTCAGAAGAAGAGGACGAGGACCGCTTACCTCCTAATATACCTGATATCGACACACATAACCCCCCTTCGGATGACGATGGTAAAATATGCATAATTATCTTTTTCATCAGGTTAAGGTGACTTTTCATAACAAAATTACTTTATTTGAAATTAAATTTGTGAAGCTTGCGTAAAGATAGCGTATATTTGCTGATTTGCGCAAAGTTAGCTTCTTTTTGCACAAATTAAGCGCTATTTTATGCAATGTTAGTTCAGTTTTTGCGCAAGACCAGTACACTTTTCGCACATGGAGAGACGTTCCACTCAATCCTACTCTCGCTATTTATCATGATTTTTTTATAATAATAGTAATTTACTGATTTACAGGTTCAATAAGTGAAGACCGAGAGAGTATTATCTCATTATGTTCAATGAATAATGTGGCTCCTGAACCGCTGTCTACCACTCCGTCACCATACCTAGAACGCCAGAACTACCTCGATTGTTTACACAATACTTTAGAACGAGTTAGTTAACTGTTAATTTATTTAAAATAATCATAAAAATTTTAAACCTTAAAATTGAGAAACATTTATTTTAATACTTTTAAAAATCAAAATAAAATGCCGATTAATTGACTTAAACTTAAAAATACTTGTGTTTCCAAAAGGATGCTCAAAAGCCAGCCCCAGTTCCTAGAAAGAAGTTTCCTCCTATTGACAAGATTGGGTCGGATATCTCGTCGTCAGAGGACGAGCTACTAACGGGAGAAGACCCGCGACGTTCACCCGCCGAGGAACAAAACAGGGACCAAGATAACTTAGATGATGATCAGGTATGAATGAAATTGTAGTTTTTAGTGATATTGTCTGGTATACGCAGGTCTTTGGCTGTTTAGGACTTATATGAATAGTATTGACAGTTCACCATGTTCAGTTTAACTTGTTAAATCTTGAAACTGGTCTATGAAGAAGACTAAAGTCTATTGGTGAATTTTTAGACTAGATACTGTATGTTGAATATGAGTTAGTTTGAGGCGCTGATAGATTATATTTTACACAACTTTATCACAGAGAACACGATGTTCTGTATGTACTAATACTTCATTCATTTTATTATTTGCTAGATGTCGTTATCATCTCTGTCGTCGACGGAGGCTAAGATAGAGGAGCAAGTACCGGCGGAGGCGTACTACCCGACATATCCCCCCACTACTGCCCCCCCGCCACACACTCACCCTCACTACTACCACCAACCCATGTGGCCACATACAGGTAAATTATGTGGGACGCCCAAATACTGAAATGCTACTCAATTTTAACTTGTACTTAAATATTGTTCAGAGATTTTATAAAGAATTTGTAGTGCCAGAACTATTCTTGAGAGTGTCTTAAAATTAAGCAGCGTTTAAGTATTTGACCACTATTTCTATACTAGATAGTGATGCAAATTAACTTGACATTGATTTGGGCCCTGGCCTTTACAGAATATCTCTGTTTTCTTACAGAAAATAAAACATTACTTATTAGTGCTTGGTCCTGTATTCCCATTTGTCTTTTCTTTGTGGTAATGGAAAGATTTCTTTACGCTATGGTGCTACCTGCAAATTGTCTACCAAGAGTCCTGCTGTGTAGACCATAGCAAAATCCCGTATGTAGAGGAGGCCTATAATCCAGCAATGGACTGTCATAGGCTGTTAATAATGATGATAATACATGTTTGTGTCCACAGCGTACCCCCCGCCCGGCTATGGCGGGCCGGAGTTGCCGGGCGTGATGCCGTACGGGGGCACGTTCGCGGCGCCGCCCATACTGCCGCACCACTACCCTACCTACACAGAGCCCGCGCAGCCTGCACAGGTAAACGAATATATACTTTATGTACACTCGTATAAGACGGATTTCGTCTTACACAATGTTTAAAGAGTGACAAAGACGTAACATGAAATCACACCTTTGGCCAAAGGCCCGCGAGATCTTATCGTCTAAAATCAGTAGTGTTATCAGTCCCTTTACATCAATGTAAAGCTTAATGCCGGATTCCGTACTATTAACGAGATTATCGAAAAAACTAATGATCCATTTTCAAATATTTGGATATGAAAAGTTCAGTTCAAACCTTTGATTAACCTTTTTGTGTATTTCTTGGCAACAAAATACTAACAGAAAAAATAACTGTGTATAACATCACAGTCTGAATATTCTCAGGAGCTGGACAACCCTTACTACCCAACAATAAACAGTGTAATAGAACGCGTCACCGCGGAGCTCAAACAAATTCTAAAGAAAGACTTCAACAAGAAGATGATTGAAAGCACTGCGTTCAAGAGCTTTGAAGTCTGGTGGGATGAACAGAGTCGGAAGAACAGACAACCCAAGCCCAAGGAGGAAGCTGGACAACCTTTACAGGTACACAACCCTCCTGTAAGTTACTTTTTTATATTATTTTTGATATGGCAGTGAGTAGTGATAAAGCTTTGAATTAAATTCTGTGGTGAGACATATATAAACATCTGAAGATACTCGACAGATTTCAAACAGTGACAGGGCCTCATAATCCAAAACACTATGTGTTGCGAACTAACGGACAAAGTTACAAAACTTATTATGAGTTAAATCATTTGTTATCAGATCATTTCGTTTATTATGTTTTTTTTTGTACTTAATCAAGTGTGGGAACAATTGCATTTTGTATTTCATGAAACAAACGATTATTGTACATTTTCTAGGACATCTCCAATAAGAAGGAAGAGGCAGTGGACTCGATAAAGTGCATCATGGAGTCCCGAGAGATCGGGCTTGAACTAGGAGGGTACGGAGTGGGCATAGGCCTAGGGCTCCGAGCTACAATACCTAAGATGCCCAGCTTTAGACGTAAGCGGAAAATACCGTCACCTGTCTTCATGGATGATGACTCTTCGAAGAGGTTGAGTGACCAGGTACAAAACATTTTCTTATTTATACATTTTCTCGCTCTTATTAATAGTATTTTAAGATAAAATGTTATTATACAAAATTATGTTGTGTTATTAGGAGGAAATGGTACAAAATTCAGACGAAGAGAAAGAGGTGCCGACGAGTCCGCGGAACAGAACAACTGGTTCCTACCTATCCAGGAGCCGCCGGCGGCAGTCCAGTAGTTCATCCAGGTAACATATTATTGCAGTCTACTTTGAATACAAACTAATTAAAAGAAATAAGAAATCACTGCTTAACAAATAAGCTAAGCCAATAATAGCTTTGGTTTGTTACCTGCTTAAGTAGGTAGCGCTGATAAAGTTTAAGGTCTTCTTAGCCTAAATACTAACTGTCAAAAAAGTTAAGTTACAAGAGGGTTATAATTCTTCTTTGTAACTCCAAGCGGAGAAATCAGCCCTGGTTTCTACAATGTGTGGCCTTGAAACTAGTATAATAGTCCCGCAACATACATCAATACAATAAAGTAATACAATAAAGTGTCCTTATTTCCCTTAGATCGTCTTCCTCATCATCAAGTAGATCGTCGTCTTCCACTGGGTCGGAGCGGAAGGGTCCCGCGCCGCGGATATACTCCGACACCGAGGATGACTCCGAACTCGACGAGGCAGAGGTAAGCACCTACTGCTTGTTCATACTGGCTGGGGTTTTATATGAGTCACTTCCATACTGTTATGATCAATAATTAAAGCTTTGTGGTTTACTTATATACTATAAATAATAGACAAAAGGATCGTCTGTCTGGAAAAGTTTGGCCCAAATTGAAAACAAAACTGTCGAGTGAAGATTTTGAACTGGATTCTTAAGTTCTGTAAATTTACGCCCCCATACGCACTAGCGGTTGACTGCATATGCGGTTCCTTAATTGCCATACCGGTTGTATCGCGGTTGCATATAAAATTGAAGACAGTTAACTGCAAGTGAAGGCTAGTCGCGCGGTTAACCACTAGTGTGTAGGGAGTGGGGGGGGGGGGCTAAAAGACATCACGCCATGACTCATATACAGCTGAAGCCGAACCCTCTTTGTACTAACCCCTAACCATTTAAAACATATGACGTTACGTTGCAGCCCTCCCAGGCGGTTGAGAACGATAAGCCGCTTTGGAGAAAAATGGTAACCGCCATACTAACTACACCTTTATGTTATTAGATGTTTGTAGTGTTGGAGTTTGTAGGAACTTTTGGTTTATTACTTATGCACTCTTGTCCAGATGTATGGCGAAAATATCTGTGGATTTCACTGGTTTATGAAAATGTCGTGTTTGAAACTATTCAATGTAAAGCATGTATAACTATATTGAGGAAGTAGTGTAAGCATGGAATGTGGAAGACAAAACTTTGGTTAATTTAATTTTAACCTAAGAGGAAATAAAACCGAACCATAAAAAAGTACGCATGTCTGACCCTGGTTGGAGCACCTATTACTGAAATTACACTACATATTTTGAAAATATTTTTGCATGACAATTTGAAAATATACAATACTTAAGGAATTATTGGAATAAAATTATTTTTGAATGAAGTAGACTAGACTTGATGCCAAATTTTGGATATTGTTTTTATTATGCACGAGATAGAAATTGCACGACGGAGTAAAAATTGTCTTAGCAACAGCAACAAACTTGTTTAAATATGTATTGTACGTGCTCGTTTATGTCGACCTGAATACCAACATTCTCTCCTATCCTTAGTCCCATCTACTGACCCTTGGTTTTCGGTATATTATCTGGTACGAAGTAGCACAGTTAGTCGAGTAGTCCACAGATAGTTTCGCCACTATATTAACGACCAGTCTCAATAATCTGTGTCAGAAGATAATCAAAAATGATTAGTAAAGATAGACCGGCCTGTGAGGATACTGTTTGATTATGGGCCACCTTTACGAAAGAGAACTTTCCCATAATCTCCACGTTTAGCAGACGGGGTACAGATGATAGAAGCTAAGATTCAAAGAATCAGGTTTATCATAGAATGCTGCTGGTCTCTGGTAATGTACCCTTAGTCGGCAATTGAGACCCTCTTCCTTTTTGGGCAGTCGTTTAAATATGTATTCTACTCTACCACACATACCGTCATAATTTATCAAACTCATGTACTCAAATCTACCAACAGATGATTAGGACTGGTCGCTAGTATGTAGTAGCTCGGCAAAGCATGCAATTGTACTTTAAATGCGAGTTTACGTTGTTTACAGCTCAAAGTGGTGTCGAACAAGGAGCGGCTCCGGCGAGTGTACTCGTCCTCGTCAGACAGCGAAGAGGAACAGAGTCGGAGAGGTAGTACACTATTGCTATTAACTACTATCTAAATATATCTCATAATAATATAGTAGTCATATTAATTATTATGTTTAATGGCTTACTCATGTAATTGTTTTACGAGGTCTCATATTTCTGAGCAGCATTACAGTAAACGTCACACAGCCAACTGAACTGTCTGTTGGCTGTACGTCAATAATTTGTGCTTATATCATAGTGTATCTATGATTATATTATTTACTCGTTTTTCTGTGTCCTCAGAAAAAACCCCAATCCCTACAATGGAGGCGTGGGGAGGCGAGGGCGAGGGTGAGGTCTCAGGAGGCGAAGCTCCCGCCGCGGCCAGTCCTCCACGGGACTTATTGCTCGACAGAGTGTACTCGGACTCCGAAGAAGAGAGGGAGTACCAGGTAAGGCATTTTAAACGTATTTTTACGGCTCTTTTTAAGAAAACGTAGCTTTAGCTAAACATTATTACATTGAAGGAAACAGTATCGAAATTCCTTATTTATTTTATTTAAAATATATTCATTGTGGTATAGGAGAGACGGCGTCGCAACACGGAGTATATGGAACAAATCGAGCGAGAGTTCCTGGAGGAACAGAGACGGAAAATGGAGACGGATACGCACCCGCTGCCTGAGAAACCACCTGATGACAGGTATACACGATACTTATGTTTTCATAGTATTTTATTTAGTAAAGTTAAATCGATACAATACTTTGTGCAAACAATTATATAGAGTTAATTTTCGTTTCCATACTTCAGTTCTATTAAAACTAAAACTAAATGGATAAAAGATAACGCGGCTAATGAATGAAAATAATTCCAGTAAACCGGAGACGCAGCCAGAAGAACCTCACAGTAGTCCAATCAAGAAGGCGGCGAAGTCTCCGGAGCGCGGGGCGGTGCTGGAAGATGGGTCCCAGAGCGACGACTCCGCCCCCCGGCGCGCGCGCCCCGCCCCCGGCCCCGCCCCCCACGCCCGCCAGCGCATCGTGTCCTTCAGCGACCACAGCACCACCGAGACCGCCGTCAGTGTCAACGGGATCAAAGATGTAACTAGACATAATGTAGTTGAAGTCCACTAACAATTGGGTATTTTCCTAATAGTCAAATTTAATATTTTTTTTCGAAATGGGAAAGTCAAGTATTAAAATGAACCTAAAGTGTAACGATGGCGACGATGTATGTGAAATAAGAAAACCATTTATTAAGCCACGACACTCATGCAGACAACAATGCAAGAACACATAAAAAGATGTTCATTGTGCGTCGCAGCGCAAAAGTGAAATAGAACATTTATTTCTCACAATCATCATCAACAGCTTATAAGTGGCCACTGCTCGCACGGAGAAGTTTTGAGCATTAATCACCCCACTTACTTTATGCGGAATGGCCATTTCAAACTTATAATTAGTAATTATAAACACAGGTTTTCTAACAATGCTTTTCTTGACCGTTCGTAAGTTGTGTCTAGATAATCTTAGAAAGTACATATAACTCGGAAAAAGTCACATTGATACTTGCCGTTGGTAGATTTCATGCATAAGAGTGCGGGTGTCTTAGACGTCCGGGTCATCGCGACATTAATTACTCATAAATTAGCTACTAAAGTAGTCAAGAAAAGTCGAAACAATTGGTTTCCGATTGAGGAAAATGCTCAATTTTAACCCAAAACTGTATGAAACGAACCGTATTCGGATCGTTGAATTGTCAACTAGCAAAAAACGACTAATTTTGTCCGACATCACGTCCTTTTCCAGCTTAGGTCCAAATAAGGTAATTGTAAAATTAATGTCTTATAATGAATGTTTCCAGGCAAGCAGCGCGTTATCAGAGACGTCGTCGCCTCAGTCTCAGGCTTCTCAGGCGTCGCAGGCGTCGCAGGTCGCCCTCGACCACTCCTACTGCCGGCCGCCGCCTGAACAACCCGAGAGGAGGCCTTCCAACCATCTGCAACATGATCACGGTAACTGACACTATTACCTTCACTTACACACAAAAATATGAATACATTTCTAGCTCTGACTGCACTGTGAGCTACTGTGTTTCTCGGTCGGAACAACTCTTTGTGGGATCTACAAATCGTTGTAATGAGTGTATAGTTTGTTTGTTATGTAAACGCACCCACGGCACAGGAAAAAATGAGATAAAGGAAATTTCATGTTTAGAAATGATAGCATTATGAAAAGCTATAGCAGTTAATACTTCTTGTAAGATAAGCCAAAAACATGTAACACAATACTTCCAGGTTATACATGGATGGCGGAACCGGAGAGCGCTGTGTCGCCGCCCGTGGAGGAACCCGTCAGCAAGAAGGATGCCAAGCGGCCGTACAAGAGGAAACACGAACCTAAGAAACTCGCTGAGATACAAAACAAGTATGTACTGCTTTTACTCAAGGACTCACTTTTTCCAATCTTTTATTTTTTATTCATGGAAAAATGAAATTGATGTTTGTGGAATTGAATGTATCTAATTTATGAATACGATGTTTGTTTTCCAGACTGTACGAACCACGCGAGGCGGATTACGACAAAGTTCTGTATCCTAGGGTAACATTCAAGCCGCGTGACTTGATGGCGGAGATGCAAGTGATGTACGAGTTCCTGACGCGCGGCATCGACCGCGAGGACGTGGAGTACTTGCGCCGCGCCTACGACGCGCTCCTGGCCGAGGACACGCACGGGTACTGGCTCAACGATACTCACTGGGTCGACCATCCACCCACGGACGTCTGCTACTCGCCGCCCAAGAAGAAGTCTAAGAGGCACAACAACATTTATGAGGATTTACAGGTGCGCTTATTTGACTCTTATTCAAACGAATATGTTGCTCAAAACTCAATTCGAATTTTATTTCACGTGAATTTAACGTGTATTTTTATAAAATTAACTAAATATAAGTCGTTGAAAGATATCACCATTATCGAAAACTACTTATTATTAATAAATAACTTGAAATAAATTGCAGGGTCATTCGAGTGGTTCAGCTCGCACCGAAGGCTACTACAAGATGGACGCGCGGCTGAAGGCGAAGTACAAGTACCACCACGGACGGAGCTCCGCGGCCGCCCTGCACGCGCACTCTGACGACAAGAAGGCCTCCAAGATGCAAGGCCTGTCTAGGGAAGCTCGGTCCAACCAGAGGAGACTACTCACCGCTTTTGGTATGTACTCTGATGATAGATACTCTCAGCATACAACTATATACAATGGGCCGTCAGATTAACCCACTCTAATCTATTAATGTTTCCATTGCATTTTCGATTCTACATCAAAACAATAACGTTGACAATTCTATTGGCATCTGTATGATAAACAACTCAATACATTTACACTGTAACATAATGTTCTCTTTTCCATCATCAGGTACAGACACAGATTCTGACTTGTTAAAGTTCAATCAGCTCAAGTTCAGGAAGAAACAGCTCAAGTTTGCCAAGTCTGGCATCCACGACTGGGGTTTGTTCGCACAAGTAAGTCATCATTATTTCTCTTCTGCCACAAAGTCGTATAAATATTATAAGTTAATATGTACTTGCCTTTGTCAAATATCGTGTAATGTCGATGATACTTAAAAATAAGACTGAACGGTAAGTCTGTACTTAAGTACAATCCTACATCTTCTACTTGTCTTCTCCTCTTTAACTCAGATCGCAAAATAGCCTAATCTAATGAATGTTCGTTTGCAGGAGCCGATAGCAGCGGACGAGATGGTGATAGAGTACGTGGGACAGATGGTGCGACCCATAGTGGCCGACGTCAGGGAGGCGCAGTACGAGGCCACCGGCATCGGCAGCTCGTACCTGTTCCGGATAGACCTCGACACCATCATCGACGCCACCAAGTGCGGGAACCTCGCCAGGTTCATCAACCACAGCTGCAACGTGAGTATACAACACACTATTGACTATCATGTACTTAAAAACAAATCTTCATTCTGCCACGAAACTGCAAATAAAAAATTAATAACATGCGCCGCTTTAAAACTTTTGTAACTCTTTCCAGCCGAACTGCTACGCGAAGATTATAACAATAGAGTCTCAGAAGAAAATCGTGATATACTCAAAGCAGCCGATAGGAGTAGACGAGGAGATTACCTACGACTACAAATTCCCTCTAGAGGACGAGAAGATTCCCTGTCTGTGCGGCGCGCCGCAGTGTCGAGGCTTCCTCAACTGAACGCACGCTCACTCTGACACACGCAGTGTCGTTCGAATACTACTAACATATTATACTCTACTGTCGGACTGTCTCTCAGTGTCCTCGATAAGTCTGAACCTAGCCTGCAGCCGTCAACGTGAGCAAGAAATGAATTTAGTTACATTATTAATCGATCTGAAATCTTCCAATGTGTTCATGCTCATTTGTGTGACGGTGAATGGCTGTTAAACAAATTATTTTATGTCGCTGCAATAATATGTTTAAGCAAGGTAATAGATAATCGCAATGTAACATCAACAATGAACTGATAAGTATATATTTAGGCTATACAATCAATTAACTCGTACTTTGTATATGAAGGTGCGATGGCAACGATTGGAATTAATCTTTAGTGTTGTGATTTAGGCAAGGTAAGTAAATAGAATATATTCGATTCTGTCCTTACCTACCTCTCAGTATAGATCTAAACAGATATATTGTGACGTGTGTTCAAACATATTGTTTTCGTTTTCTTCAACCTGTCCTTCAGTCCTCATATCTTCCCTAATGTGTAAGTATCTAATAGTATATCAGACAGAGTTACTGAGTAGCTTCCATTACTGTGTAATACAGTGACGTTGACAAACTGCAGCCGCCGCCGCGCTGTGCCAGGCGTTGTGACCTTAGTAGTTTTGATATCTGCCTCAAATAATTACAATATTATCCTTTTTATGTATTTATATAATTATATTGTGAGTGCTGTGTGACTCTGAAGTGTTTGTTAATGTATTTAATGTGAAGACCCAGTGAACATATTATGTAATTATTAAATTAGCCGCAGCAAATGATTCTTGTATTATATTATGATATTTCGACTGAGTCTAAATATATGATTCACTAGGCATAGAATGTCTGATGTAGCGAGCTGTATAATTATTTGTGTTGTACATTGTTTATGTGTAAAGAGATCTCTGCTATTACGTCAGATTTGTGTAGTACACTTTTTAAGTACATCATCTTGTTAATAATTTCGAAAGCAATTCGTAACCAAATAATATGGGGTGTTAACCGAGTATTGTTTTCGATAACGTGACTATCAAGTAAACGAGTGCGAGTAGTGTTGGTGATGAATGTTAACTGAGTAACGAAAGTATTGATGGCTGCTCGCATGAACTTTCCACTTCATATTATGTAAATGTAATAAGATTGTAAATAAAAAATTCCAACAATTTTAAGGTACTAGTTTTATTAAATAAATGAAATTAACACCCCGTAGATCTTCACCCAAGGCGGGGGAAGCCATTGAACGATTTTCCTCCCTCAAAAAAAAAAATAGAATCTGTTAGTAGAACAGGTGTATGGTGTAGTAGTCAACGTGCAAATCCTTCAATATCTTAAAATCCAGAGGTCCTAGCTAAAAAATAGCGAAATTTTCGTACATCTCGTTTCTTGACTTATAGTCCTATGTCCCCTAGATGGGGCAGAGGGCGTCCACAAAGGTTCTCCATCTCGATCGGTCTTGAGCTTCTCGCTTCACCTCGCACCACGTCATTCTGATGCTTGCCGCTTCTGATATCACAGTACGACGCCAGGTTTGCCGAGTGCAGCCACGCTTCCTTTTCCCTGGGGGTTTCAATCCAGCGCTTACTTGGAAATATGGTCGGGACCCCTTTGAAGCGTATGGCCTATCCATCCCCACTTGCGACGTTTGATCTGACGATTGATCGGAGTTTCACGGCATCTCTCCAATAGGTGTACATTGGAGATCGTCTCAGGCCAGAAAATACCGAGAATGCGACGTACGCATCGGTTGATGAAAACTTGGATTTGGCGGAAGATGTCTTTCGTGGCCTTCCACGTCTCGCACCCGTAGAGCAGTACGGATTTGACATTGGACCCGAAGATTCTGAGCTTAATTCTTCGGGTCAGTTTTCGTGACTGCCACACAGGTCTAAGCTGCGCGTAAGTAGCTCGGGCTTTGGCAATCCGTGAGGCGATGCCTTCCGCACTCCCTCCAGTTTCTGACACGACGCTCCCGAGGTAAGTAAACTTGTGGACGCGTTCCACTGCCTCAGTGCCAATCAGCAACGGTGAATTTTTCTTCACGCCCGATCTCATATCTTTGGTCTTCCGTGTGTTGATCTTAAGGCCTGTTTTTGCCGCATCCTGACGCAGATCGTCCAACTTTGCTTGCATGTCGGCGTGGGTATGACTAGGCAGGCAAAGATTGTCGGCATAGTCCAAGTCTTTTAAGACGTTGGATAATCCCCATTCTATCCCGCGGTGCCGATCTTCTGAAATGCGAAACATAATTCCGTCAAGTACGACCAGGAATAGAAGCGGCGACAGGAGGCAGCCTTGACGGACAACTGCATGCACTGTTATGTCATCCGATATCAGCCCGTCATGGGTTACCCTACAGGAATATTTCCTATAAATGCTCTCCAATAAACGGACAATCTTCGGCGGCACTCCAATGTCCAGTAGACGAGACCAGATGCTAGACCACTTCAACGTATCAAAGGCTTTTTCGAAGTCGACAAAGGTGAGATAAATCTCACGTTGCCATTCTGATGCTTGTTCTAATATGATACGAAGAGTGTTGATCTGGTCCGTACATGAGCGGTTCGAGCGGAAACCAGCCTGCTCCCTGCGGAGCAGTGGATCTATGGTTAGGCACTCTGGATAGGCTGACGAAGGCGTCAGCCTATCCAGAATGATTTTGCAAAAGACCTTAGCAGGTATCGAGAGCAATGTGATACCTCTCCAGTTGTCACACTTACTAAGGAAGGTCTCCTTTCTTTGGCACAGTTATAATAAGACCATTGTTCTAATCATCTGGGAGCTCTTCCTGACTCCAAATTTTTACAATAAAAGGCGTTAGAACTTTGACGGCGGAGGATAAATCAGCTTGTAGCATTTCCGCCGTGATTAGGTCGAATCCTGGTGCTTTGCTTGCCTGTCTTTAAAGAGCGGACTGCTTTAGCCACTTCCGAGGCTGACGGTGGTTCTACATCAATGTCAAGTAGCCGTCGTGGTGTGGAATAAATATTTAGTGCATCAGGTGTAGCTGTCGCTGATAAGCGGAAGACCTCTTCAAAGTGTTCACGCCAACGTGCCAACTGCTCTTCTGAAGTCGTTTTGTGCCCTAAGACGTTGGAGCTGGTCTCTGTGTAGGCTACTTTAATGCGGTTCCACTCCTCGTCCAGAACTGTGCAGAAGCTCTGCTTCTGCTTGGGCTCAGTTACATAACCGGCTGTCATCGCTGAGCGTTCTTACGATCCAAAATGCAATTCGTGTCCGTGTTTTATGCCAAAAGTCGTCGGTAAATGATCGGTCCGGGTTATCTCTGTTTCGGTTTCTGTAATCTGAAGTTGTCGGGCAAGCAGGTGATTAGCCCACTATGCCTTCATCCGCTAGCGGGGCTGCCGCTTCAGAGCCTGCGGATATGCTCGGTTTTGTTTCAGGTTTCCTCCCTAGTGAGCTGATTCTGTTTTAAGGCGCAGAATACTCGCCTTGCACCCTGCATCCGTTAGCTCAGCTGCAACTTAGTCGCGCGGCGGCGCGGTTGCAGCAGGTCCCAGGGAGGACGACGGGGACGTGGATGACGCGGACTGGCTAGGGCTCTGCTTTATACGGTACTCCGCCACGAGAACAGCAGAAGGCATCTTGGCATTTTATAGGCAATGCCGCTCACACATACAGCGATTCCCACCACACCTTACCCTAGCTTCCGCCCCCACTCTACACCTCCTGTAGATAGATAACTTCAGGCGTCTCCCATGGGGGTAGGCAGAGACTGGAACGCATTGCTACGATTCTAGACTTGTAAACTGATTACGCGTACCAGTGTACGCGCTATCCGTACGCACCTCATACCTATTTTGCTTTATCAAGTCATCAGTCTATTTATGCATGCTCGTCGGTTAAAGATACTATTAATTTACCCGTGTAGACATATTTTTTATTTGAAGGACAGGGTGGAATTGACCTTGGACCAGCTTGGGCCGCAAAGAGTATAATACATATAGGCATTAGGCAAAGAGTATAATAAGTATAGGGGTTTAGGGGAATTGGGCTCACAAGGCTAGAAAAATTTGGTATAAACAATACATAGTATAAAAAAATTAGGTATTCAGTCAAACTAGACTGCTGTCTAGTTTGACTGAATACCTAATTTTTTGAGGATTGGTAGACGCAGAGTATAATAAATATAGGGGAAGGAAGACGCTGCAACTGTATGGCAACAACTTCCGAATCTGTCAATATCTCAAGAACAGGGAAAATGCTTTTTGGATTCACTTTATAACTAAAACACGACTTCTTGAGCCTAGCTTAATACGTACTACGTACGTACATATATAATTTCTCTAGATATCCTGCCCAATAAATAGCCCCGTACTCGTAGTATTTAATAAACTCAATCTTGTTGCTCCAAGAATAATAGCTAAGGTTTAGTTAGGTTAGAACTGCGATCCCAAAAATCGAATTAAAATCAAACTTGTCGCATTGTATTTATATTTTCTTAAATCATGCAAAATAAAATACCAAGAAATACATTACAAAAATATATATTTTAACATGTCAAAGAACGTAAACAAAGATCACTTATATTAAAACTATTCTAAACAGAAATCAAGTCAGTTTATAAAATCACAGTAAAAATAAGTAGACAATCCAGTAGTTATTATAAAATACATTTCCATACTTATTATAAACCCATACAAAACATCCACATTCAGCCGGCCGGCCACAACAAACACCTAACGGAGCTGATACTCTTGTACTTCAACTATTTTCAACAAGCTGTTACCATTTGCTTGCTATCTAGATCTACTAGAAATATGTAGCAACAATTTATATTCTCTTCACGACGGAGATTTAAGTGTTTAAATCTAGTTTAAGTCATAAGTACATAATAAATCGAATATAAAGATAACTTAAATTCTAGCAGTGACTCAGTTCCAATATTCACAATCCGTAGTTGGTGTACAAGAGAATCGGCACCCTGTATACCTTAACATAGAAATCAATTTAAATTACGTAATAAATAAAATGTACATACTATTAGTACGACATAATTAATATGCTAATACGGTTATCGCTCCAAAGTAAAACTAAGCTGCTAAGGCATGGTATAAATAATATAACCTATCAAACTTATTAACTCCTAAAAATACGAAATACTACTAAAAATACAAACATTAGATCTACTAATCTGACTACTCTCCTGCACTGGAACGTCGTATCACTCAGGTACTAGAAATGTCCTCTGTATCATACAAGTAACATAATTTATAAAGCTAATATACGACTGTATAATCAGACTCACTACTCTCTGAAGCTAGACAGCACTGGCATTATATAGTTATGACTGGAATCGTACTTGTCTCGTGAACATTTCAGCGCACAAGTCCGCCGGCCCCTTCGGGGAGTCTGACTTCGCCTCGCTGTTTTCTGATTCTGTGTCAGAGTCAAATTCTGAAATAGTGGCAGGAGATTTTCTTCCATTCGTTGTACGTTTTAAATCGACCTCCGTTGTCAATATTTCTTTGATGACGTCATCGGGAGTTTGCTCCTTACGATGCTTGTTCCGTAGTTGTCGCGCTCGTTTCCTGATGTCAGCGAGGAAGCCCGTGGTGACCTCGACACTCTCCTGCGAGACGTCCTGCGGCGTGCCGTCAGTCAGCGACTGCGCCAGGTCCGTGGTGGAGCCGCGCGTGTCCGATATACTGGCTAGCGACTCCACGGACGCGCCGACACTCCTGAACGCCGTCATACCCTCTATAATAGAGACGTTATACCCGTTATCTGATTTGGAGCGTATTATTATACCGTTGGGTGCAGTGCCCAGCAACACGGGCTCCTTTAGTTTCAATGTGAATATTTCAGGCAAGTAACAGTCGGACGCCGTCGAGGCAAGAGAGGCGGTATCACAAGTGCACGGAGGCGTCCTGTACGCGTCGTCGTTCAAGTACACTATAGTCACTTTGTCGTCTCCTATCACATACAGGAAGGGGTTCACAAACTCCCAGCTGTACACGGCTGTGCTCCACTTGGGATCTTCATTACGAGTTCGCTTTCCATTTTCGTCCACGAACACTCCACACTCTGCATAGCAGAGGAGGATCTCAGTAGGCTTCTCTTTGATGAGTAAGAACGCTTTCGGAGGAGAATGTTTCTTAGCGGCGGCGGCGATAGTGGGTTCGTCCATACCGAAGGCCTCCAGGGCGCCCGATGGTAAGTTCAGTTTGAGCGGCTTTTCTCCCGCGATGTACAGAGTCTTGGTAGTAAGTAGCAAGGAGTTTGCCGGCCGGTCTACAGTCAGCGAGCGAGCGATCTTGAACTCGGAGGAGGCGGCCTCGTATCGGAGCAGGAACACGCGCCGACCGCACGCTACCGCTGCGCACGGACCTTCGATGGAGTCGTTGTTGATGCCCTGCAAACAAATTGCACATTTTATTAATAATACAGAGTACCCAACATGTTTGGATATTAAAATTTAGTTTGAGATAACATTTGATTAATTAAAGGTGAATATAACGTGCAGAAGTGTATGAGAGACCTTGAGTAGATGCGGCGGCGCGGAGTCTGGCAGCGGCACGGGCGTGGCGGGCAGCGCGGCGCGCAGGTCGGGCGCGCGGCGCAGCGCCGAGCCCAGCGCCAGCAGCCCCGCCTGCAGCAGCACGCCGCCCCGCGCCAGCAGCGCGCGCCCGCCCGCCGCCAGCACGCCGCCCACGCCCGCCGCGCGCGCCCGCCAGCGACCCGCCCACTTCTATCCGCACTGCGCCGCGCAGCGAGTACAGCCCGTCCTCGCAACCTGCAACGCCACTAGTTTAGTATCTTCACATATACACGTTTAATAATATGAGAGTAGAATACATCCCTAGATAGTGAGCAAACAAGTCCAGCACATTCATTGGGAGAACTGTGTTTCGGCACGAAAGGCCTGGTTCGACCGGCTTGATTGATATCACAACCTCACAGAAAACTGACCCAACCCCTCCAGCGGGCGTCGGGGATCACAGAACGATCACCGGCCTCAGTAAGCGCGGGCCTGCGGACGGCGAGCATGGATGGCTCGCCGCCGGATCAAAACCAGACCTGAGTGTACGCCGCGTCACGTTCCGCCCGTGCCTCAAAGAGCTATCGGACCACCACGGATGGAACCCAATAGGGCTGATGCCGATTCGGGGCTGAGGCTTTCGGCTCGAAGTGCAGGAGTAGGAACGGGGTGGTTTTTAGTCAGTAAGAGCTTGACACTCGTGTAATGTTCGGAGTTTAAAAGAAAACCACACACTTCACTCGCCTCCCTCCCGCCTTACCCAGGCGGGAGAAGACATTCGATAATTCGACCCGTCTTAAAAAAAAATAACCCAACCCCAATCCTCAAATTGTTACAATTCATTGATCTATATGTTTGGATAGCAATGAACAATGGTAGTTACCAATAGCGACGGCGTTGGGCGCGACGTAGAGCGCGGCGTGCGGCGGCGCGGGCAGGGCGGCGAGGTGCAGCGGCGAGTAGCCGAGCGCGGCGGGCTGCGCCTGCGCGGCCTGCAGGCGCGCCAGCCACGCGCCGCGCTCCGCCAGGCTCGAGCACACCACCGCCACGCTGCCGCGCTCGCTCGACTCCAACTTCACCTACACAAACGCATCTCAATCACTACTCAAATAATTCATCTCTTGTCGCCGTGGAAAACGAAAGGGTTCGGCACTTTAACAGTGGACTTCTTCCGACTAATACTACTTACTTTTAACATTAACTTTTTATTTTTACAATTGTTAGTGCTAGGACCGTGCCAGACTGCCTCGCCACTTCTTTTCTAATTACTCTATTCTGACAATTTGAATATTTGTGCGACCCACGCAAATAGGTTGCTATTGTTCGTCAAATCAGTCAGCCTCACCTGTTAATTGACCTGACTGTAAACCGACACTTGCGTGGGTACTGCCTTCAGAACGAGTCCAGTCAAACTATTGTGGTTCTTTCCTCAAAAAGCCACTACAGAAATAACTTGTACGGTTCTCACACATAATCTATTATACATATTTGTCTGGACTTTAAAACAGACGGACCTCTGAGTTTGTTTCGGCATTTCTTCTCAGAGTAGTCAGTTAGGAAATGTCGGCCTCATCGTTCGCTTGATAAAATTGACGTGTAAAAGTGCTGCCTTGTAGCCTATTTGCAGAAATAAATTCGCTTGTTTCACTTGTTATGATGATGAAATCTCTTATCTTTAACACTTCATTATAACATCAAGACTTAGATGAAACCTATGCTTACAGTCAACTTAAATTGTGGATGAAGAAAATTTGAACATACAACTCATGATTCAGAAACTTGTTACATTGACATGTTACAGTGTACAGGTACATAAACAAAAAAGTGACAGTAAATATAGCGCGGAGAAAATCATAATATAATGTTAGACAGGACAGTAGTAGAAGTGACTGACCACAAAGGCCCGGTTGGCCTCGTTGTGCGGCAAGTTCTTGGGCTCGGTGGCCACGAGCCGGCCGCGCAGCTCCCTGCTGCCGCTGCACAGCACGAGCCACTCGTCCGCCACGCGCGCGCGCATGCGCTCGCGGCTGCCGTCCGCCCTGCAGAATGCCAATATTTACTACATAATCCGCAACCATATAGAACTCTGTCGGATCGACAAACCATGCACTGTACAAGTTATTTATTAAATTATCTTTTACAGGTGACACACATAACTCTAAAGTGGTAACATATTTATATTACCGAGTACCGGCGTAGCCTATTATCAACATTTGTCCCATCGTTTGTGACGTAATCCTGCTCATCAGTATGGATTCCTAGGGTGTCTTAAAACAAATCGAGCTACCTCGTCAAAGAGTTACGCAACTAAGCCGTAAAATATACATAAAACGGTAAAAGTTGTTTCAATTATTTAGAGAAGTTTATAATATGCGCTTAACTTACCATACGATCAGCAATCCTTTATCTTGAGATCCATCGGGTGAGTCAATACTTTTCTTCGCTCTGAAACACGTACACAATAATTTATTAAGAGTGACTTCAACAAATTTTTTTTTTTTTTTATTCTAAAGTTATTTGGACTATGTAACTTACCCATTAACAACAGGTTTCGGTTTCTCACGCTTAGGCGTTGAGGGATAACTGAAAATAATATTTGTAATTAATATCAAAACAATTTAAGCTTTATCGTCTACACGTTAAAGGTGATAGATAACGCTTTGCATATTGACCTGGCATCACCGCCCCCACCACCGCCAGAATTGCAAGCTGCCAGTTTAGCGCGCAACCTCTCTACTTCTTCACGTAATTCTCTGTGGAAAAACATATGTTTTTTTAAAATTAATTTATTAGAAGTTTCCAATGTAATATAATAAGGTTTTGCTGTGCACCAGATGGCGCCAATGTAGTGTCAGGTAATATTTGTCCAATCACTGTAACTGTCATATATTTAATGTCCAACGACTGTACTGTACTCACATCAGCAAATAGTTGATTGGACAAGTGAGCTCTAGCTAAACTAGCGGACCTGTGCCTTTAGACAAACGCCACTTTAGCGCTTGTCTACAGAGATAGTAGAAAACTAAATGTATGGGGATGACAAGTGTCAAAATTTACGTCCATTCCATATATTCTACATGTAGACAAGCGCTAAGTGGCATTTGGCTACAGCTGGAGTTCATCAATTTAAAATATATATTATATTTATCCAGCATTATACCACACGTGTCTTCTGCCTAAGATAAACCTGAGTTACCCAGATTAGATAGCGACATAAACCCAAACATTCCCACTGCATCCGATCTAAAAATATCAAAGATTGTGTCTTATCTTAATAGTTGTTGATCAAACACGACTACAAGATATAAATCATCAAATCGGTGAACGGCTCGACCGATTTCTAAATCCTTTTTTGTTGTGTTATGGGAACTGTCATTCTTGAGAAAATGTAAAAATTACATTACATCTTAAAAATATTTCTAAAATATGAAATTTGCAGTAAAATAGTCGATGACATATAACATAAATATGTAATTTGCATGTGTATATCGTTACCTGTTAGCCCTCCGCAGCGGCGGCGAGGCTGCAGGCCTGCGCCCCGACCGACCGAACAACTTGTTGCTCAGTGAACATTTCTTACGACCAGCCTCCTCTACTTTGGCCTGCCATACAAGAACGTTACCATTTTACACTTCATCTCTATGAATAGCACGTCAGAACTATGAATACCATGTGAGAGTTAAGTATGTGACGTAAAGATGCTTAAGCATTCATATAAGTTGAAATAGGTACCTGCAGGAAGTCGATGAGCTTGGCCTGTTGCCGCAGCGTGGCGTCTGCCTTGGTCTCTCGAGTGCGCCACCACGCCTCGGCCGCCTCCGCCGCCTCGCGCGCGGCTGCCAACTCCTCCTGGACACGGCGCACTTGTACACTCATACATGTCTACATAGGTCTCCTAGGGTATATACGTAGGTACTTTTTGTGTAAGGATCACTTGAATTTGGGGATTTGTGGAAGGCAGATAGGGGATGCGGGAGGATGTGTGGATGTTTGTGCGTGCGCGTGGTGTGTGTGTGTGTGTGTGTGTGTGTACCTGCACGTCGTGTAGCGTGGCCTGTAGTTGCAGCGCGTGCGCGTGGTGTGTGTGGTGTGTGTGTGTGTGTACCTGCACGTCGTGTAGCGTGGCCTGTAGTTGCAGCACGTGCGCGTGGTGTGTGTGTGTGTGTGTGTGTGTGTGTGTGTGTGTGTGTGTTACCTGCACGTCGTGTAGCGTGGCCTGTAGTTGCAGCGCGTGCGCGTGTGTGTGTGTGTGTGTGTGTACCTGCACGTCGTGTAGCGTGGCCTGTAGTTGCAGCGCGTGCGCGTGGTGTGTGTGTGTGTGTGTGTGTGTACCTGCACGTCGTGTAGCGTGGCCTGTAGTTGCAGCGCGTGCGCGTGGTGTGTGTGTGTGTGTGTGTGTGTGTACCTGCACGTCGTGTAGCGTGGCCTGTAGTTGCAGCGCGTGCGCGTGGTGTGTGTGTGTGTGTGTGTGTGTGTACCTGCACGTCGTGTAGCGTGGCCTGTAGTTGCAGCGCGTGCGCGTGGTGTGTGTGTGTGTGTGTACCTGCACGTCGTGTAGCGTGGCCTGTAGTTGCAGCGCGTGCGCGTGGTGTGTGTGTGTGTGTGTGTGTGTACCTGCACGTCGTGTAGCGTGGCCTGTAGTTGCAGCGCGTGCGCGTGGTGTGTGTGTGTGTGTGTGTGTGTACCTGCACGTCGTGTAGCGTGGCCTGTAGTTGCAGCGCGTGCGCGTGTGTGTGTGTGTGTGTGTGTGTGTGTGTGTGTGTGTGTACCTGCACGTCGTGTAGCGTGGCCTGTAGTTGCAGCGCGTGCGCGTGGTGTGTGTGTGTGTGTGTGTACCTGCACGTCGTGTAGCGTGGCCTGTAGTTGCAGCGCGTGCGCGTGGTGTGTGTGTGTGTGTGTGTGTACCTGCACGTCGTGTAGCGTGGCCTGTAGTTGCAGCGCGTGCGCGTGGTGTGTGTGTGTGTGTGTGTGTGTGTGTGTACCTGCACGTCGTGTAGCGTGGCCTGTAGTTGCAGCGCGTGCGCGTGGTGTGTGTGTGTGTGTGTGTGTGTGTGTGTACCTGCACGTCGTGTAGCGTGGCCTGTAGTTGCAGCGCGTGCGCGTGGTGTGTGTGTGTGTGTGTGTGTGTGTACCTGCACGTCGTGTAGCGTGGCCTGTAGTTGCAGCGCGTGCGCGTGGTGTGTGTGTGTGTGTGTGTGTACCTGCACGTCGTGTAGCGTGGCCTGTAGTTGCAGCGCGTGCGCGTGGTGTGTGTGTGTGTGTGTGTGTGTGTGTGTGTGTGTACCTGCACGTCGTGTAGCGTGGCCTGTAGTTGCAGCGCGTGCGCGTGGTGTGTGTGTGTGTGTGTGTGTGTGTATCTGCACGTCGTGTAGCGTGGCCTGTAGTTGCAGCGCGTGCGCGTGGTGTGTGTGTGTGTGTGTACCTGCACGTCGTGTAGCGTGGCCTGTAGTTGCAGCGCGTGCGCGTGGTGTGTGTGTGTGTGTGTGTGTACCTGCACGTCGTGTAGCGTGGCCTGTAGTTGCAGCGCGTGCGCGTGTGTGTGTGTGTGTGTGTGTGTGTGTGTGTGTGTACCTGCACGTCGTGTAGCGTGGCCTGTAGTTGCAGCGCGTGCGCGTGGTGTGTGTGTGGTGTGTGTGTGTACCTGCACGTCGTGTAGCGTGGCCTGTAGTTGCCGCGTGCGCGGGTGTGTGTGTGTGTGTGTGTGTGTGTGTGTGTGTACCTGCACGTCGTGTAGCGTGGCCTGTAGTTGCAGCGCGTGCGCGTGGTGTGTGTGTGTGTGTGTGTGTGTGTGTGTGTGTACCTGCACGTCGTGTAGCGTGGCCTGTAGTTGCAGCGCGTGCGCGTGGTGTGTGTGTGTGTGTGTGTGTGTGTACCTGCACGTCGTGTAGCGTGGCCTGTAGTTGCAGCGCGTGCGCGTGGTGTGTGTGTGTTGTGTGTGTACCTGCACGTCGTGTAGCGTGGCCTGTAGTTGCAGCGCGTGCGCGTGGTGTGTGTGTGTGTGTGTGTACCTGCACGTCGTGTAGCGTGGCCTGTAGTTGCAGCGCGTGCGCGTGGTGTGTGTGTGTGTGTGTGTGTGTGTGTGTACCTGCACGTCGTGTAGCGTGGCCTGTAGTTGCAGCACGTGCGCGTGGTGTGTGTGTGTGTGTGTGTGTGTGTGTGTGTGTGTGTGTGTGTGTGTGTGTGTGCCTGCACGTCGTGTAGCGTGGCCTGTAGTTGCAGCGCGTGCGCGTGGTGTGTGTGTGTGTGTGTGTGTGTGTGTGTGTGTACCTGCACGTCGTGTAGCGTGGCCTGTAGTTGCAGCGCGTGCGCGTGGTGTGTGTGTGTGTGTGTACCTGCACGTCGTGTAGCGTGGCCTGTAGTTGCAGCGCGTGCGCGTGGTGTGTGTGTGTGTGTGTGTGTGTGTGTGTGTGTGCCTGCACGTCGTGTAGCGTGGCCTGTAGTTGCAGCGCGTGCGCGTGGTGTGTGTGTGTGTGTGTGTGTGTGTGTGTGTGTACCTGCACGTCGTGTAGCGTGGCCTGTAGTTGCAGCGCGTGCGCGTGGTGTGTGTGTGTGTGTGTGCGTGTGTACCTGCACGTCGTGTAGCGTGGCCTGTAGTTGCAGCGCGTGCGCGTGGTGTGTGTGTGTGTGTGTACCTGCACGTCGTGTAGCGTGGCCTGTAGTTGCAGCGCGTGCGCGTGGTGTGTGTGTGTGTGTGTGTGTACCTGCACGTCGTGTAGCGTGGCCTGTAGTTGCAGCGCGTGCGCGTGGTGTGTGTGTGTGTGTGTACCTGCACGTCGTGTAGCGTGGCCTGTAGTTGCAGCGCGTGCGCGTGGTGTGTGTGTGTGTGTGTGTGTGTACCTGCACGTCGTGTAGCGTGGCCTGTAGTTGCAGCGCGTGCGCGTGGTGTGTGTGTGTGTGTGTGTGTACCTGCACGTCGTGTAGCGTGGCCTGTAGTTGCAGCGCGTGCGCGTGGTGTGTGTGTGTGTGTGTGTGTGTGTGTGTGTACCTGCACGTCGTGTAGCGTGGCCTGTAGTTGCAGCGCGTGCGCGTGGTGTGTGTGTGTGTGTGTGTGTACCTGCACGTCGTGTAGCGTGGCCTGTAGTTGCAGCGCGTGCGCGTGGTGTGTGTGTGTGTGTGTGTGTGTACCTGCACGTCGTGTAGCGTGGCCTGTAGTTGCAGCGCGTGCGCGTGGTGTGTGTGTGTGTGTGTGTGTGTACCTGCACGTCGTGTAGCGTGGCCTGTAGTTGCAGCGCGTGCGCGTGGTGTGTGTGTGTGTGTGTGTGTACCTGCACGTCGTGTAGCGTGGCCTGTAGTTGCAGCGCGTGCGCGTGGTGTGTGTGTGTAGTGTGTATGTATGTATACATGTCCATTGCTAGATCTAAGTGTGTAATTCATATATATCGGATTGTATCCAATATTTAGAGTAGTATTAAATGTAACTTCAAAC